TTTTCGTGATTTTGGACGACATGCTATACTATGACTTTTTTTCATGATTTTGGACGACATGCTATGCTCTGACTTGTTTTCGTGATTTTGGACGACATGCTATACTATGACTTTTTTTCATGATTTTGGACGACATGCCATGCTATGACTTGTTTTCGTGATTTTGGACGACATGCTATACTATGACTTTTTTTCATGATTTTGGACGACATGCTATGCTATGACTTGTTTTCGTGATCTTGGACGACATGCTATACTATGACTTTTTTTCTTGATTTTGGACGACATGCTATACTATGACTTTTTTTCGTGATTTTGGATGACATGCTATACTATGACTTTTTTTGTGATTTTGGACGACATACTATACTATGATTTTGGACGACATACTATACTATGACTTTTTTCGTGATTTTGGACGACATGCTATTGAATTTTTACCAATATATAACAACTCATTTGGGCGTTTACCAATATCGACATATCCACTCTTCTCCCAATCTAATTTAGTGACCGAGTCTCTTCTGGAGTGGAATAAACATCATGTTATATATTGATACTCTTGTTGTTCAGTGTGTTAGCAGGGTCATTAACACATCCCACTGTCCCAAAGTCGCCCTAACAAAATTTCGTCAAATGTTCTTGTGAGATTTTGTACAAAGTCACATGAGCCAGTAAACAGTGTTTGTTTCATTTATTGTTTTTGGATGGTGATGATGACGTCACTCTGAGTGGACCTTCTTCAGTCCAGGGGAGGATATCACAATGACAGACCAGATTAACGACACACACATGCTCATTGTGTTGCTTGTTTCCTGGAAACATCCCGATCACATTCATGCTCCCCAGAGGATGAAACTTTTCGTTTCATATTTTGGATCCTCCAAATATTTTCTCTTGCCCCGCCCTCAGGGCAGACCGTACACACACAGGGTTCATCACATCTAACCAACATGTTACTCTAAATATTCCTTGTAAATGAAGCGATGCAGAAAGATTTGTTTAGAAGTTAATTTACTGCAGGTCATTGTTGTTAACAAGCACAGTCACCATTCACAGTTTGACAAATCTCTACCGACACCTTCAGACAAACATCACAAACTTCTACCACCACCGCGGCCTGACCAGCGGGTGGCGCTGCATCACACTACAGCTGAACGCATGGTCGTAGTATCCTGCGTCACTGATGAAGATAATGCCCTTAAATACAAAAAAAAAATCATGAGCTATCTGTATTCATGATGCCATGCCACGGCAGGAAACACTACTCGCCTGATGGCCACTGGCGAAGCTCTATGACATCACTGCCCATCGACTATGTACAATTTACACATTTACCTTTTAGACATTTATAATGCAACTACGTTTGTAGCATAAGATCTGCTCTGTGTGATGGCGTATCAGGACACAAAGGTCTGACATTTGGAGAACAAAGTCATTTTGAAATAAGAATAAAGACATTACATGTAAAGTAGAATTACCACCCTGTGGTTGTTTGACTCCGCCCACTATGTCTGTGAAAACACACACCTTTGCTCCGACAGCACAGATCTTTACAATCAGCACAGTTTGAAGGTGGACGCAGTGACAGAGTAACGTCCACAAGTGTTTTATGTAGAATATGCTGATGTCACCAAATTTGAATTGTTTGTTCTTGAGTCCAGGTGGACGTTTGTGCCAAATTTGAAGAAAATCCCATGAGGTGTTGTTGAGATACCACATTCACAAGAATGCAATGGACAATGTCACAGTGACTTATGAATTCATGAGTTATGGCCAAAAACATGTTTTGTGAAATCACGTGACCTTGAACTTTGACCAGCAAATTTTAATCAGTTCATCGTTAAGTTTGTGCCAAATTTGAGGAAACTCCTTTGAGGACTTCTTAAAATATTGTGTCATGAGAAAGAGTTGGACACAAGGTTACAATGACCTTGACCTTTGACCACCAAAATCTAATCTGTTCTTGTTACAGTCTAAATAGATGTTTGTGCCAAATTTGAAGACATTTCAGGGTGTTCTTGAGATACCACATTCACGAGAATGCAATGAACAGTGTCACAGTGACTTAAAAATTCATGAATTATGGCCAAAAACACGTTTTGTGAGATCATACTGACCTTGACCTTTGACCTTCAGCCACTAAGTTCGAATCATTTCAATGTTGAGTCTGACTGGATGTTTGTGCCAAATTTAAGGAAAGTCCCTCACGGACTTCTTGAGATATTGTGTCATGAGAATGAGTTGGACACAAGGTTACAGTGACCTTGACCTTTGACCACCATAACTTCAGTTAATCGCAGAGTCCAAGTGGACGTTTGTGCCAAATTTGAAATAAACTCCTTTTAGGAACAGACAGATGGACGGACACCACACAACACCACGCTTCATGTGATTACACTGTATGTGACTGTTTTTACATTTACTGACAGTCCTTGAATGCAACATTTACAGAGTTCTGTCTCTGTTTAAATATTCTCAGAATATTTCAGACTTCATTCTTTAACTACTGCGACTTCTCTTAGTAAAATGTTAACGTTTATCTCATAATTTTTTTGTTTTACATATTTCTGCTAATATTACGATACTTAATTCCCTACTGTCCTGACTGTTCTCATAATATTACAACTTTAATTCAAAGTATCACTTCTTCCCCTTAAAGTGGTCCTATAATCTGTGGTGTGTCACGTTCTAATGCTCCGACTGCTTCTACACAAGTTCTGAGATGAATCCAGATCTTCTGTTTCGGTGGCCCGGTCCTCTTCTGTGCTGAGCTGCTGATGTCAGACGATCTTATATTCAGTGTTTGCCTCTCTGACACTTCACTTATTCCATCATCAGTTTCTCAGAGGTCTCAGAGGGAATGTTTTAGCACGAGGTGACGGATCATGTGTCGTGGAGGGTCTTCAGTCTTTTCCATCCTTCATGACCAACCACAGCAGGTGACGTCACACTCTGAAGCAGGAGAGGTGACGTCAGCAGCTGTGGGATGTTACCACACTACATGAAGCAGAGCTCTGTGCTGCAGGTAGTGTGAGCAGATCCTGTTGTGGACCAGGTCCTGATCCCGGGCTGAGGATGATTAGGAGTCCTCTATCGAGAAAACCTGGTGTGTGTTGGGGAATCGCTGAGCGTTGTAGTCTGGATCGTCTCTCACTCGCTCTTTGATGTCGCTCTTTACCTGAAGGGAGGACAGACAGAGAGGTGAGTAAGTCCTTATCAGAAGAATCCTGCGCTGTTTTCAGAATAACTCCATCAGTCAATCCTTCACCCGAGTATAAAGCTACACAATCAACACGATAACTGAAGGTGAATAAGGCAGGATTTATAGTTCTGTGTCGAATTGTACCCTACACTGTAGCCTGACGTGCACCTCCCCAGGTCTGTCTCTGTGAGCTGAAACCATTTCCCTCAGTGGAAACAAAGCTTTGATTTACTTTAATTTCACAGATAAGAAACAATAAATAAAAAGACAAAAACTAGTGTTTTGAGGTGTAACTGCAGAGTGACACAGACACACCACTACACAAGTATAAATCCACCTTAACATGAACGAGTTCAGCAGCAGTGCGTTACCTGTCTGGTGTATGCTTCCTGCAGCTCCGGCCTCTCCAGCTCCCCCTGCAGGCTGTTTGGAGCGGTGACAGGCAGGGCTCCTGTGGCACGAGCGGCTCGACTCACTGCGTCTGACAGAGACAGGTGTGGGCCTTCACACTGTGTCGTCTAGGGACAGAAACACGACTGTTACTCTCCTGAAAACAGACGCTTTTTTAAAAGACCTTTTTGGGGCTTTAATGCCTCAAATCGATGGGACAACTTCTTTAACGTCAGGCGCAAAAAGAGCAGTGAGTTGAAATCGAGCCGCTACAGCTGGGGCAAGGACAAAGCCTTTGTACATGGGACACCTGCTCTACCAGGTGAGCTGATTGGCACCCTGAAATCAGACATCCTTAAAGGGACGTTTTGACATCTATGCCTGTTCAGGACGTTTCTGAGCTTTGCTTCGCTTAAAGTCTGGAAGCAGAGGGAAACAGTTAGCCTGGCTCCCACAACTCTGTTCTGTTAGCTAACAAGCCATTTTCAACAAGTCACCTGATTTCTTCAGCGTAAGAACGGAGCTAAAGCCTGATGACAATCAGTACGTTTACATGACAATAAAGGAAATGGATTTATTGTGTCAGTCTGACTAAAACCAGATGAAAACCACTCTGAGCACGCTCCACAGTTTCCGCCCCGGGCTTTGTTTGGTCTGTGACGTAATAGGTCAACAGGAAAAAGGTCCAATACTAACAAGCTGAAAGGGGGCATATCTCCACCTACTGTAGAGGAGTCGCACATACTTGGCTCAATAAATGGATTCCCCTCCCGTGCTTGTATACTGGGACAAGGACAGTAGGCCAGTTAAACCGCGCTATAACCATAGCTTCACTTCACTGTGACTGCAGACGTATTGAGTGATGACGTGATTTTGACACAACAACTCTGACAGTCTCCCTCAGTCTTGTCTACAGTGAGACTACACCCACATGCAGCGCTCACCTTCCTCCTCTTGGCGGGCATACCGTGCAGGTAGGCGTCAGACAGCGGCGGCTGGGCTTTGATCTTCCTCTGAGACAGCATGTCATGTCTGATGATGGGAACCCATTCCTGAGCGAGACATTATCACACAGTCATAATCTATAAACTGATGATGGCTCTGGTCACATGTGAGAGTGATTTACATCATAGGCACAGCAGGTCTGTTTCTACACAGCTTTTTCACATCAAGGCGTTAGAAGTGCCACAAAACAGACACAAAACAACTTTGAGTCGAGGTATAAAAGTGTTTCCATTTGATTCCTTACGGGTGGAACAGCTGTAGCCCACGGCTCCACCTCAGGGGCCGCCCCCTCCCGTCCTGTCGGGGCCCCAGCGGGGCACTGAGCGTCCCCTGCTGAGGCGGTGTTGTCTCCGTGAGGTGCCTCCCTCTCTGCACCGTCACCTGATGAAGCCATGGCCTCCTCTGCTGTGGTGGCTGCAGCTGGAGACAAACTCTCCTCCATCTGATGAAGAAGAGGTGCATCAAAGTTAGAATTTGGACTACCATGACATCACTAATGTCCAGCTAAACATCGTGGGGGCTGGTCTGACCCTCTCTGTCTGACTGACTGCACCTGAAGCAGCCATCGTTTTGTGGCATATTTAACAGAGGATATTAGTCTGTTCAACATCTGCTCCCTGCTCTTTGATCACCAGATTCTAATCGGCTTATTCTTGAGTCCACGTGGACGTTTGTGCCAAATCCCTCAAGGATGTTTTGAGGTATTGCGTTTATGAGAATGAGTTGGACGAAAGGTCAAAGTCCTGCACCAGGTCGGGTACCTGCAGGTAACCCACAAGAAGCTGTGTAACGGGTAAAAATATGTATATATATAAATTCACAGGTAAAATATTTTAACATCTAAATCACTGTTATCAAGCTGCAGTTGCTTTTATTTTGAAAGCCAGTGACACCAGTGTAACCTTTGACCCCGTGGTCACATTGGTCACCGACGTGGAGGACTCCAGCCATGACACTTTGCAGCCCGAGGATGAGGTGGCAGCCTACATGGAGTTGGGATCCTTTGGAGGTTTGATGGTGGTGGAAGGAGCATGCTAACATGTTTCCTAACCTGGCAGTGATTGAATGTTTTCACCATCCAGTCAAAGAGACGTCCAATTCAAGAACGGAGAACCAGCTTCATGTGAGGGACTGGAGCCTGGGGGGGTTTGATCAGGGGGGAGGGTTTTAAATAATGGACCCATGCAGGACTCTGCAACGTTATAATGACCTTGACCTTTGAAAACCAAATTCTAATCAGTTCACTGTTAAGTCCAGGTGGATGTTTGTGCCAAATTTGAATTTAAAATTCCCTTCAAGGTGTTCTTGAGATGTCACGTTCAGACAGACAACCTGTCAACGTGTCTCTGGTCACGTCTCATAAAGATGAGAAAGAAGTGAACTCACCTCCATGTTCGGATTCTCTGGCGGCTGCTCCCCCTCAGCCTCCGTCCTCTGGGTCGACTGCTCCTGAAGTGACATCGCACTTTGACAGAATTCATTTAATGTCTGAACTGAATCAAGCTTAAATTTTAAACCTCGAGTCTGAACATTGTTAAACTCTCTGTGTTGTTTGTTGGACGCAGTTTGTAGGGGAGGAGCTTCTTACAGTATTCTGTTATGTGCACATTTATCTTAATAAAGTTGATCACACTGTGCGTCTTGTTTAATAAATAAAAGCACATTTAACCAGCAGTGATGGACCTGATCCTGTTCATGTAACTCGTACAGACCAGAACCTGCTGCACACAGGATGGTTTCACAGACAGCTGTAGATGTTCCACTCGGTGCCTCTGTGCCGTGCGCTCAGCTCCAGCTGCTGTTACTGAGCACGCTCACTGATGACTGTGTGTGTTTATTACCTGTGTGTAAATGATGTAGTGCTGGATCTGGTCCTCAGTCACTGGGTTGTGTTCCAGGATGACGTGCAGCCTCATGGACATCATACTGGTCAGCCAGTTGACCAGACTGGGGTTGACTTCTGCAGACATCCTCCTCTACACACACACACACACACACACAGAGCTGTTGACTTGTATCACATGAGTGAAGCACGATGCTGTGGTTATAAATGATGTGTACTAACGATGCGGTGGTTGATGACGGCGGTCAGAGATCTCTGCTCTCCCCCGAGACAGTACAGGTTCAGAGCCAGACACTCGAACAGACCCTGAGTGCACAGCAGCAGCAGACGAGGGCCGAACGTGGGATCTGTGTGGAGAAACAGAAAACCACTCACACCTCCTCATCTTCACATCGCAGGTGATCCTGACATGTTGGGATGAGCAGGAGACAAAGTTTGGGCGGAGAGATGTCTGTGAGCTTTAGATTAAAATTAAGGTTTTCAATGAGAACGTCTGCAACTAACGACACTTCCTACTGTCATCAGACCTTCAGTCTACAGCTCACATCCTTAGACTCTTCATTGGCGAGACTTGGACACAAAACAGACCAGAACAAGCAAAAGGTTCGGACAATCGTTTCATTTCTCTGTAGAGTCCTCTCCTTAATGATATATGATGCTTAGAATCACAATCTGAGCCTGTCAGCAGGCTGAAGTCTGATTATCCACACCGTCAACAACACAGACTGCTCAACAGCTCAGCATCAGGCCTTTAAATAATCCATGAGCGCCTCCCAGTGGACACAGATAAAATGATCAGTAACCAGGTCACTGTGGTGTCAGCTGATTGGCCACTGACTGAGTGAACTCACCGTTATGGCGCAGGATGTGTGAGGCCATCTGTGTGAACTGCTGTCTGAGGAAGGACACGTTGGTCTGAACGATGTCCACGCCCTCTCGCACTGTCACTGTGGCCTGGACACACACACACACACGCACACACACACATGTTCATCACTTCATACCCAGCACACAGCACAGCATATTATGCCGGGTTCACACCACACGACATTTTTGTCTGTTCCAACAGTCACTGTCACACTAGGTGATTGTGGAGGCATAAAATCTTGCCGTCACTTGGCCGACAGACATGACACACTACATGATGGTCCACACCAATTATTCCTGGCCGTCACAACGTGTGTGATGTCATCACATTATTTTTGTCTTATTCTTCTTATTATTATCTCAGTCACTGTGTGTGTTCATGTTCCAGCTGAACTGTTACTGTAGTGACGTGAAACTGTCACCAGATGGGCGGAGCTACATTTGAAGTACCGCACACAAACTGTGACAGTCACTGAATCCTCCACAGGAAGTTCCTGCAAATGTTTCACAATAAAAGCCTTTTTAGAAAGTGAAGGGATTCTCTCAGCTGAAATGATAAGAGGCTTTTAATTTGAAACAGAAACAGGAAGTGTTGAGTTTGATTAAACTAAGAACAGAATGCTAAATGGTGTGGTGTGTTTGAGATGCAGCTGGTAGCCTCTGCAGCTGTGGCTGGGCTGTTGTTGTCCTACAGTTTCCATGGCAACAGATCGCTCTGTGTTCCTGTTGGTCAAAGTGACGACTGTGACGGGAGAAGTTATGGACGACAAAAAGGAACTCAAACATGCTAGACTTTCTGTCGGGACGTCGTGAGGCGTCTCAGACGTGGCGTCGGTTGTCGTTTTTCGTCACTACACACAATGAAACAATGGGTTATCACGTACGACGCTCGTTGTCGTTCACGATTGGAGCCGACACTGCGCAACGCTGCGTCAGGCTGTAACCAGGCTGATATCATGTAGTGTGAACTCAGCATGAGATGAGGTTCGTGTGTCCTTACAAAGCTCTCTGCGATGTACTCCTCCAGCCCGTTGATGAGGTCCTCAGCTGCTGCCTGCAGAGACGACAACCTGATCAACAACTTCATACAGTCCACAGAAACTCTGCTCACGTGGAGACCGTTAACATCAAGGTGTTGCATCATTGAGCCGTGAAACACATAGACACCTGACAAAGACCAAACTGCCGAACGCTCGTCAGATACTCGTCCTGTCTTGGGTTCTGGTCAGTGTCATATCATGAGTAATCATATCGAGCAGCTCAGTGTGTGAACACAGCGAGGGACTCTCTGCGTACTTACAGCGATGTTAGCGTCAGTGGGCTCTCGGCCCTGGAGGTAGTGTTCAGTGAAGAAGTCGTTGAGCTGTGGCTGAATGCGGCTCAGAGGCTGAGCGTTCCCATGGAGCAGCAGCACCATGTCCACCATGGAGAAGCTCTGACACACCAGGGACAGCAGGTCGCCGAAGAAACCTGTCGGGACGAGAGACAGGTTATCAGTGTGTCAGTAACAAGCCTGATGAATGGTGTTAGCTGTGAAGTCATTCTCAGAATATATTGGGACAGTGATTTGAAGGTTAGTGTCGACTGAAAGCTGCGTTCAGTCGTCCTCCTGTGTTGTGACTCACCTACAGCATCTCCAGAGCCCGGCGTGAACAGGTTCCTGGTCTGAGACAGTCTCTGGATGAACTGGGCGATGCTCTCTCCGGTACTGTGCTGCGCCCCCAGAGAGCTCATCATGGTGGACAGCACTCCCTGCACGATGCCAGTGAACAGCTCCGGGCTCAGAGAGTCTCCACCTGCACCGCTGCCGGCCTGAGGGGGGGCGGGACCGGTGGACTGAGCGGGGACTGCGGCGCCGGGACCACTGGCTGGTGGCTGCACAGAAACACACTATTCAGGGACAAGCTTCTATTTTATTGTTTGTGGCCCTCCAGACCACCTGGAGTCAGGAGAAACCCTGCACACCTTCATGTTCTGCAGTGCTATATGAACTCACCGCTGTGAAGTCCGACACGCCCTGGAAGAAGCCGGGCACCCCCGGCAGCGTCACAGTGATGGAGGGAGCCGGTCCAGAGCCGGGACCTCCTGGTCCAGCTGCTCCTCCCAGCAGAGAGGCCAGCAGCTGGACCAGATTCCCCTCAGGACCGCCCTCTGCTGGCTGACCTACAGAAGCAGTGTTGGTGGTGTGGGTGGACGTCTGTCCGGAGGTGTTGGCAGAGGGAGGGGGAGGAGACGTGGTGGAGGTATCAGATGAGAAGGAGGTAGAGAAGGAGGACTGAGAGGTGGCTGAAGATGACGTGGACATGGGATCACCTGGAGGAGTTACAGGAACAGGACAGAGTAAGAACAGACGCACTGATGGTGGACTGCCAGCTGAGTGTCAGGTGACATCATCAGCCAACTTGAGTCAAGCTCAGACCGGCCAGTTCACACCACTGACACTTTTCTCTGCAACAGTTTTGTCTCGTCTCCAATCTTTGGTCTGAACTGGACTCAACAAACAACAATACTGACTCAGTGTCACTGTGATGGTGTTTCTATTCAGGCTGGTCTCTGTGAGCTGTTGTGTTGAAAGAAATAAGCAGAAATGACCATTTTAAAGCACAAATCTGTGGATCTGAACTCAGGGGTCACTGACTTGCTCTTTCATATCATACCTTACTCAGGTGTCTTCATAACTTCAGATACTTACAGACACTAACATTAGATAATGAGTCAGTAACAGCTGGTTCACAAACATAATTACACTCTGTTAGTGTGACAGTACACATGTACCAGTCTGCAGCACTGTACCATCTGTGTTACAGTGAAGACAGTGAACATTTGCTCTGTTAGCAACACTGAAGCTTATTTAGTGTAATTATTACTGGGAGTCAGCTGGCAGTCCTGTTGACTTGGTGTGTGCTAGCATACTGCTCGCTAACTGCTGTCTGTGTGCATGTTACTTGTATTGTCTCCATGTTATGTTCTGTCTTACCATGTTTTTTTATGTGTGTGTTTTTGTGCCGCCGCAGCCTAATTTGCGCTTTGGGACATTAATAATAAAACTGAACTGAACTGACAGTAATGTAGAGTCGTCACTGACCCGTCTGCCCCGGCATCAGGAGCTGTCCCACCAGACCGCTGATCATCTGTGTGAGGGAGGAGGGAGCCAGAGGGGTGCCCTGTTTGGAGAGAAGGGGAGGAGCCACATTAACATTAACATATAGTCAGTAATCTGTGTTATTCAGTACACTGGAGGAAGTGAATTTATGGAATACTAATTATTTGAAAACTACTGAAAACATTTCTAACAGTTTTCTGATGTTTTCTGATCCAAACACCTGACTGATAAATCAAGACGCAAACTGTCAGGCTGATGTATGAAGCTCTTTGGCTGCAGCCCTTCATGTCGCTCCGTGCTGGTGTTACCTGTCCTGGCTGCTGACCGGCTGTGGGCACCGTGGCCCTCACGTTGATGGTGGTTCCCCTGTTTCCCACTGGCTGAGGGATGCGAGGGGAGAAGGAAGGTCTGGTGATGACGACCCTCGCCTGAGCAGGGTGGGGCGTCTGCGGTTGTGCACTTCCCTCAGCGCTGGGTGTAGATCCAGGGACCATCTGTGCTGGGTGGCCCACTGAGGCTGCGGTGGCCATGGCGGCGGCTTGGTGGGAGATCTGGTGCACAATGGCCTGCAAGAACTCTGGGGGCAGACCTGGGAAGTGGACGGGGGTCGGTCCTAGAACACAGAGAGGTCTGTCCTGAAAAACACATCTTTAAACCTCCTGACCCAAAGAGTCAGCTGTTACCATAGCAACAAACCACCCAATCAGAGCAGCACTCACCAGGCTGTCCGGTACCTGCAGCGTTTGGCTGTCCTGGAACCTGAGAGCCAGCAGCGGACTCACCTGGTGAACACAACGAGAGCAGAAATCAGCTTCACGCTGATTGAAGGAGGAGCGTCGAGGGAACGCTGCAGAGCTGGACCAATCACCACGGCCGCACAAACACGCACAGTCAGGCTCTACGATGACATCACAGCGTACGTACCATCGAGGTTCATCTGCATCATGACGACAGGCTCCATGGTCTGGTGGGTGATCCGGATTACTCTGGGTCCCCCTGGTCCTTGTTGATTGGTCCCATTGGGCTGAAGAGGCGGGGCCTGACCTGTAGCCTGCTGATCTGATTGGCCAATGACATGAGAGGGCTGACGCTGTCCCTCAGCTGCCTCTCTCCCGTTAGACGTCATGGTCACTGTCGTCCCCAAGTTCACCTGGACAAGAGAGACATCTTTATCTTTAAAGTCAAGTACGAACTCACGTAAACATCACGTCATCACGTTAAGTTGAAAAAATAAAACTGTCAGTGATGTAAAGTTGCCTAAAGTCCTGATCACACAGAAAGTGTCTCAGCAGCTGGAGGCGCCTTTTTACAACAGTTTTTAATGAGAATTAAACTTTTGCTCGCTGAGTGTGTGCTGCTACGTGCCTCACGTCTCTGAGCTCTGGTCGCCTGGCATATTTGCTGCAGCGCTCTGAACTCCTCCAGCTGAAAAAACTAACTCGGAGCAGAAAGCGCCCCACGTCACCTCTTTTCTCGTCAAGGTCACGACAACAAGTTTACAGTTGGTAAACAATGGAGGAGAAACAGCTGGTAGCGGCTGCTGAATACCCAGAGCTATACGGGCCGACGAAATTCTGAGGAAACCATGAAAGAGTCGACGTACAGAGGATCAGAACGGCGTGAACCTACTGGGATGGGCATGTGTGGCAGACCAGCCTGGAGCAGGACCGGGTGGCTGTAGTGGGCTATGGGACGGACCACATACAGGTGACGTGGAGGAGAGGTCGCCAGGTTACAGCGTAGGTCGCCGAGGACGACTAAGCTGTTGCCAAGGAGACGCAGAGCATCTCCGACCAGGTTGAGAATGCGCTGATCCTCCTCTCGCTCCTGGATCTGTGGAAGAAGACAGAAAGCACTGCTGTGTCAGCACCTGTCACATGTTTGACATGACACAGACCACAGACCACATGACCACATGACCACAGACCACACCCACAGTTAGTGGCTGATGGGTGTTTACAGAGCACACATCATTAAGTGCTAATTACATTTCAGTACAGACAGTGATGATGAAGGTTCCTACGGGTTGTGTCAATGTTTGTCTGTGTGAGCCTCAGTCAGTGAACACGTGACGTTTCTGTCATGTGATTATGATCAGCTGATCTCTGCCTCGTGCAAACTTACGTTGTTGTTGTAGTCTGCGGAGGTGGCTGCTCCGAGGATGGAGTGAGTCCTCTCGATGAAGGGACGTAACCTCTCCTCCACCCTCCTGACCTCAGACAGAACCTCCACAAACTCCGCTGGACTCGGGTGACTGAGGACAAACAGAGGAGAGGAGGAGTCAGAAACTCTGCTGATGAACACCTGTGATCAGACACACCTGTGATGAGAGATGGTCACATGATGTCTGGGTCCACTGCAGCCTGATGGTTACACCTTGTTTCCACCAAAATGACTGTGTGTGAGTGAGTGTTTGAATCGCATCGCCCTTCATCCGAAATGAACAAGATAAGGAGACACACCTTTATATATTCAACCCCAACAGATCATGTGATAACACGTGTGTGAGAGGAGCCATGCGAGAGGAGCCATGCGAGAGGAGCCATGCGAGAGGAGCCGTGTGTGAGGAGCCATGTGTGAGGAGCCGCGCGCGAGAGGACTCTGATGAAGAAGCGTCAGATAATGTTTCCATACATGGATGATGTGCTGATGTCAGACTTACTTGGGCCCAGTGTTGGCCGGTCCCTCCGTCTGGGTGGAGGCGGAGGATGATGGAGCAGGAGGAGAGCTGGTGTCCATGAGCTGTGATGCTGCAGCACCTCTGTCAGAGGAGGAGGAGGTGGAGGATGGTGGGGGAGGAGGAGAGGACTGAGATCCCTCTGGCTGTGAGAGGGAGCTGCTGCTGTCACTGGACACGCCCTGTAACACACACACACACACACTCAGTACTGTCGTCTGTCCTGTTGGTTCATTGAGGGGTGCAAAGTGGACACTAACAGCATCCAGCTCAGAGTCCTGCACCGGGTCAGGGACCTGCAGGTTCCCCTCATAAAGCTGTGTAACAGGTAAAAATGAACTACACGCGGGCAGCAGGTGAGAACAGCCATGACACTTTGCAGCCCGAGGATGAGGTGGCAGCCTACACGGAGATCAAGACACCATCCTTTGGAGGTTTGATGGTGGTGAAAAAAATAGCACCAAAATGTCAGAAAAAATGGTAATAAAATGTCCAAAAATTAGTATTAAATGTTGAAAAAGTGTTTGGAAAATATTATTTAAAAAAAAACGTCCGATGATAATGTCTGATAAATATCAATAAAATATCTGAAAAAACATTAATAAAATTTCCCCCACAAAAAAAAGTTTAAATAATTTCTTAAAAAATGTTAATAAAATGTCAAAAACATGTTTATAAAATGCCAAAACAATGTTGATAAAATGTCAAAAAATGTTAATAAAATGTCAAAAAAATGTTTATTAAATGTCAAAAAAAGTTGATAAAATGTCAAAAAAATGCTAATAAAATGTCAAAAAAAGTTAATAAAGTGTAAAAAACAATGTTAACAAAATGTAAAAAGATGTTGATAAAATGTCAAAAAAAGTTAATAAAAATGTTAATAAAATGTCAAAGAGTTGATAAAATGTCAAAAAAGTCAATAAAATGTCAAAAAATGTTAACAAAATGTAAAAAAATGTTGATAAAATGTCAAAACAATGTTAATAAAATGTTAATAAAATGTCAAAAAAAGTTAATAAAATGTAAAAAATGTTAATAAAATGTCAAAACAATGTTGATAAAATGTCAAAAAAAATGTTGATAAAATGTCAAAAAAAGTTAATAAAATGTTAATAAAATGTCAAAGTTGATAAAATGTCAAAAAATGTTAATAAAATGTCAAAAAAGTTAATAAAATGTAAAAAACAATGTTAACAAAATGTAAAAAAAGTTGATAAAATGTCAAAAAAAGTTAATAAAATGTTAATAAAATGTCAAAGTTGATAAAATGTCTAAAAAGTTAATAAAATGTCAAAAAAATGTTAATAAAATGTTAATAAAATGTCAAAAAATGTTAATGAAATGTCAAAACAATGTTGATGAAATGTCAAAAAAAATGTTGATAAAATGTTAAAAAAGTTAATAAAATGTCAAAAAAATGTTAATAAAATGTCAAAAAATGTTGATAAAATGTCAAATCAATGTTAATAAAATGTCAAAAAAATGTTAAAATGTCAAAAAATGATAATAAAATGTCAAAACAATGTTGATAAAATGTCAAAAAAATTGTTAATAAAATGTCAAAAAATTGGAATGTCAGAAAAAAGTAAGGTAATGAAGGTAATGAAAGTTTGAAAAATATTATGAGAATTTCCAAAAAAATGTTCATGAAATGTCTGAAAAATACTAATAAAATGTTAAAAAAAATATTCATAGAATGTCGGAAAAAATGTAAAAAAAAAAAAAAAAGTTTGAAAAAGAGGTATTGAGAGGAGCATGCTAACATGTTTCCTAACCTGGCAGTGATTGAATGTTTTCACCATCCAGTCAAAGAGACGTCCAATTCAAGAACGGAGAACCAGCTTCATGTGAGGGACTGGAGCCTGGGGGGGTTTGGTCATGGGAGTGGGTCACAGGACTAACTTAATGGTTATGGCTTTGACTTAGACATAATGGTGGGTAACAGGTCGGTTCTGGTGCTGAGCTTTATGGGTATGGGTGGGTGCAGGTCTTTAAAAATGGCTCCGTGCAGGACTTTGCCGTGTGCATCGTTACCTCCAGCCTGTGGATCAGGGATCGAGCGTCTCTGAGCAGGTTCTCGGCCAGCTGCAGCCTCATCCTGGGCTCACTCTGCACCGACTGGTCCAAGTTGATCTGCACATCCACCGAGCCGTTGCTCTAAACACACAAACAACAGTCAGCTTCACAGGAAGTGAGAGGCTGAAAGATGAACTGATGAAGACTGAGCCTTAGAGTCTTTACCCCGGAGCTGGTGCTGACCCTGCTGCTCCTCCCAGCCTCACTGACTCCTGCCATCATCTGCTGGACAGACATCTACAAGACAACGTCCAACTGTCACAAAGCATGAAAGCCCCGCCCCCTTCAGAGAAACACAGTGAAGCTTTGGTGTGCGTGCAGCGCGGCGTCCTCACCTGGATCTGCTGAGGGTCCATGATGTTGACGGGCAGGTTGAAGGTCCCCAGCATCACGTAGCTGTTGCTGTTACGGTCATGCAGTGCACCCTGGGAGGAGGTGGAGGCGTGGCTGCTGCCCTCCGCCCCTCCGGTGGAAACACCTGCACCACCAGAGCCAGACATGGTGGCCTGAGGTGGGGCGCGCTCCACCAGGTGGATCACTTTCCCGTCTACATCTGACGGAGACACAAAAGAATAGACTTCATTTCCTACTGTTATAACATCTACTCAGTCACACCTGTGTAGGCCGTCGGCTGTCAGGTACTCACTGTACTCAGTCACACCTGTGTAGGCCGTCGGCTGTCAGGTACTCTCTGTACTCAGTCACACCTGTGTAGGCCGTCAACTGTCAGGTACTCACTGTACTCAGTCACACCTGTGTAGGCCGTCAACTGTCAGGTACTCACTGTACTCAGTCACACCTGTGTAGGCCGTCAACTGTCAGGTACTCACTGTACTCAGTCACACCTGTGTAGGCCGTCGGCCGTCAGGTACTCACTGTACTCAGTCACACCTGTGTAGGCCGTCAACTGTCAGGTACTCACTGTACTCAGTCACACCTGTGTAGGCCGTCAACTGTCAGGTACTCACTGTACTCAGTCACACCTGTGTAGGCCGTCAACTGTCAGGTACTCACTGTACTCAGTCACACCTGTGTAGGCCGTCAACTGTCAGGTACTCACTGTACTCAGTCACACCTGTGTAGGCCGTCAGCTGTCAGGTACTCACTGTACTCAGTCACACCTGTGTAGGCCGTCAGCTGTCAGGTACTCACTGTACTCAGTCACACCTGTGTAGGCCGTCAGCTGTCAGGTACTCACTGTACTCAGTCACACCTGTGTAGGCCGTCAGCTGTCAGGTACTCACTGTACTCAGTCACACCTGTGTAGGCCGTCAGCTGTCAGGTACTCACTGTACTCAGTCACACCTGTGTAGGCCGTCAGCTGTCAGGTACTCACTGTACTCAGTCACACCTGTGTAGGCCGTCGGCCGTCAGGTACTCTCTGTACTCAGTCACACCTGTGTAGGCCGTCGGCCGTCAGGTACTCACTGTACTCAGTCACACCTGTGTAGGCCGTCGGCCGTCAGGTACTCTCTGTACTCAGTCACACCTGTGTAGGCCGTCAGCCGTCAGGTACTCACTGTACTCCGTCAGCCTCCTGTCGTCCTGCAGGACTCTGCCCTGGTAGATGAGCCTCTGTTTGTCCACTGGGATCTCCACTGATGATGCAATGTGCTCCTTAAACTGCTTCACAGTCAGCTGAGGGGCGACACACAGCACAGAGCCTGTCACTGACACAGGCAGTCTAAATAAAGCCGTACCTGAGTCAGGTAAGAGCATTACCTCAGCCCGGACTCTGTAGCTCCTGCTCTGAGAGTCCAGAGTCTTCACTGTCACTTCGATCATGTCGCTGGTCTCAGCCATAGTCCTCAATATCTGGAGAATAATAACGTCAGAGGAAACTGATCACTATGGATCATCTATAATATGATTAATGAGTGACAGGAACAAAGCTGGTGACGTCAATCCTCCATCAAACTGATAAATATAATAAAATAATCACCTGATAACAAACAGCTCCTCAGCCTTGTTGTTGTTGTTAGCCTGTTAGCCGGACAGCTAACGTTAGCTAATCCCAGTTACCGGAAGGATAACCGGGCTGAATATGTGATGTCCCCCGGGGACACGGTCCTCCGCGTCCGGCGGAAGTCTTCCTTTACCTGCTCTGACAAACTGTGACCACCGGAGGGGTTTTATTTAAAGTTAAACTCCCGTTTTCACACAGTGAGCGCAGTCAGGATGAGCCGCTGTCTTTATTTTCCCCGAATTAAACACGACACTGAACGCAACGTCGAAGGACCCCGATGACGTCAGCAGGAGTGTCTGTTTCATGCCTGAGCGCCATTTTGTGTTTTAATATCAAATCTCAGATTTAATTTATTTATTTATAGTAAAGTTATTCATAGAGATGCTGTGTTTGGGTGCTGCGGTTACTGTGACAAATATATTAATGCTTTTAATGTCTTATTAATTTAATTTGACCTCTCAACACATTCACAAATGTAAATTTATATTTTATATATTATTATTATATTATTATTATATAGCCTATTATATATTTTATATAAAAATATATATTTTTTGTATTTATGTATTTATTTTGTTTATTTAGATTGTGAACGATTTCTTCCTCACAAAACAAAAACAGCTGTCAAAACGATAAAGTGAAACCTCTGTAACATCCGCTTTATTTTAATTTATCTTACATTTGTTTTACTTTCATTGTCTCGGTGCTCCGTGTGTGTGCGTGTGTGTGTGTGTGTGTGTGTGTGTGTTCGGACATGTGTCAAAATAAAGTTCAGTAATTAAAAATAAAGTTTTGATAAATGTCACTTTTGCAAAGATCATTTTAAACTAATCGAAATGTTGGATGTGCTAATTATTTACACTTATTTTCAAACTCCATTTTAAATATTTTTTTTTATCTTTGCACCCCCTGTCTGCACTTTTACTATTTACTATTTTTGAATTAATTATTTTTGAATTAATTTTACCTTTTATATCTTTTTTCTCTTTACTCTTTTTTGTAAATCTGTATCTCTTATTATATTTTACATTTTATTGCTCTGTAAAACACTTTGAATCTGCTGCTGTTTGAGATGCGCTTAACAAATAAAGCTGCTTTGTCTCAGTGTGATTATTAATGTAGAAAAGTAAACTAATCAATAAGTTATTATCGATATTATTATTGTTAGCAGCAGCAGCCTGTCAGAGTCCGTCATGTGTTGAGCTGGGCTGTAGTTTATTTTAATTTATTCATCAGACTCTCCAATAAACTGAGTTTCTGTTTCCCATGACACACCTCCTGCAAATGACGGAGAGTGTGTGTGTGTGTGTGTGTGTGTGTCGCAGGCTCTCCTCCTTTAAGAAGGACTCTCGATCAGAGGACAAGTCGAGGCAGCAGTGAAGGTGTGACGGCGGCAGCAGAGTCCTGAGGAGGAGGAGGAGGAAGAGGAGGCCCCACGGAGCCACTCGTGTCGCGGGTGGAAACTTTGCTCAACTTCTCCTGATGTCAGTCTTCAGTCTGTCAGTCCTCATCTGACACCGTGTGTGTGTGTGTGTGTGTGTGTATGTGGGAGCTCAGAGGTGTGAGTCGGTGCGGCTGGAGGAGCCCTGAACAAGTCTGGAGACAGGAGGAGGACCAGGTTGGATTTCCCCGTCTTTGTGAACCTGAGCTCGGCGCTGCAGGATCCGGAACCCTCAGATCCCTCAGGACCCTCAGGTCATGTTTGTGTCGCTCGAGAGATCTGCAGGAACCCACCGAGCTGTTTGAACCCTGCAGCAGCGGCAGGTAACTGAGACACGCTGCTGTGTTTCCACAGAGCTGAGCTGAGGTCCGTCACAGCTGCTGTGTGTGTGTGTGTGTGCATTCAAACTGTCATCACACATTATGACACGGACCAGGACCAGGACCAGGACCAGGATCAGGACCAGGATCACTTCCTCATTTGATAACTTTGGCTCTGAGCTCCAGGGATGAACAGCTTCTGCTCTCATGTTCAGTTGTAGAGTTTGTACGGAGGCTCAGTGCAGCCAAGATAAATTTAAATCAAAATACTGAGTTTAAGTCAAATCATTAGAAACTGAGTTAAAGTGTTTGAATACACAGAGAACATGAAGCAGTTACTGTCACAATATTTTCAATTAATTATTTCTTTTTTAATATTTCATTTACGTTAATTTACGTTTCTGTAAATCTGAAACTGAAGATTTGTTGCATTTATTTCGGTCCTCATGTGGCAACTTTTGGACGATTATCAAAAGACGGCTGCATCAAGTTTGAATTTTAATTTTAACCATGTGCTCTCAAACAGTCACGCTCTGTGGATTAAGAAATGATCGTCCTCGCGTTTTAAACACTGTGATATTATTAGGAAGAAGATTCAAAGCGATCGGGAAAGTGGAGCGATTTCCTTTTTTTCAGGAGGTGTTTTTGCTCCGAGGCAGGAAAAACTGAGCGACTATGAAAAAAGCTGGATGAGATTAAGGCCACGTTTAGAAGAAGGATGATTATGACATCATTCATTTGTTGTTTTCAGTTGTTTTGTTGTTGATTAGTTTGTTTTTAGCCCCTTTTCCACCGCAGGAACTTTTCTCATTTACCCGGGATTTTGAAAAACTTCCGCGCGTTTCCACTGAAATTACCCGAGTAAAAAACTTTCTCTCAACCCCACATTTACCCTGGAAACAGTACCTAGTAGGGGGGTGGGACTTTTCAGATTACCTGGAGGGGCGGGGCTGTGTGCTGAAGAACACTGATTGGTGGAGCACACACTTGCAGCGTTCTGCACTTCCTGGTACGAGCAGCCGCTGCAAACTTTATTTCATTTCTACAAGTTTCACTTTGTTTGTGTTTTGATTAAAGATGGGTGCTGACACCTGGTACTGAATTAGCCCCGGAGCTACATTATCACAGACCGTAGTATTGATCAGCTCTAACGTATCAGTTCTTCTGTGCTGAACTCCTCCACATACACACACACACACACACACACACACACACCGACACGACATGATAACTGGTGAACAGCTGAGCGGCCGCGGTGGAAACGAACTGAAGATAACTCGTAAGTGACTGGAGTTGACTGCAGCTACACTCGTTACTGTAAGTGACATTAACCCTGAGAGAGTAAGAAGCCAATACTTTATCAATACATGTGTAAACATGTAAACATGTAGACAGTGATATTCAATAGGCTCCGCCCACAGTCTCTCATCCACCGTCACTAACGTTATGTCTGACACAAGGACACATTAGTTCAGCTGATAGTGAATTGTTCCTCATGAGCTCAGATGACAGCTGTCTGTTTGGAGACTGACTTACTTTGACTCTTATCTTAAAATACTTTTAAAGAAACAGCCCCCACTCTCTACACCAGCACGTAATACAGGACACTCGCCGAATCATCTACATCATCACGCTAATTTGAATAAATGTTCAGAAACTTTGAGGTGCGATGGAAACACAAACCACACAGATTACCAGGAATTCTTTTAGCCAGGTGAATAAATTCCTGGTAATAAAAGTTCCTGGAAATGTGAGTGGAAAAGGGGCGAATGTTTCTTTTCCTTCATTTGACTACCACACAGCAGGTCTGTGTCAGTAGCTGTGTTTCCATCCAAAAGTGATTTGAATCATTGGGAAATGTGCATTAAAAGAAATACGAATCCTGTGTGTTTCCATTAAATCTACGGACTTTGGTGAAAACTATGAACTCGCGCGAGTTTTCCGCAGAACCGGAAACAAAACAAGTCTCGCATTCTTCTTCTTCTACGTTTTCTGGCGGTTGGCAACCAGCTTGTAAATGCATTACCGCCTTCCCGACCCGGAGTGTGGATATCACCATGGAGAGAGGTGCGCTACGTCAGACTTAATTCAAACATAACTGTTTCCATCCCCCGTTTTGTGAATCAACATTTTTTCGAATCAACCAAAACCCAGCTAAAGCGAGCGTATTTTAGTTTGTGCGAATCTGGAGGTTTTAATTCGAATTTTGGCGTTTCCATCATAATTTTCCGATGCAATACTTCTAGATGCGCATCTACACAGGCTGGTGGAAACATGGCTTGTGATGATGTGTTAAAGTGTCGTCGTGTAATTTGTGTTTGTTTTGTTTAAATTAATTTTAAAAGAAATGCCAATTATATATGGAGCCGCACCGCCATCTCTCTCCCTCTGAGGCTCAAGAGAAAAATAAAAGAAAGCAAAAACCAAAAAAACACAGAAAAAGGAAACAGACGGTGACGTCACATTTCAATTAATGTGACAGCAATACAAATACAAATATTTTTGAACACAGTTTAATCACACACACACACACACACACAGCCAGGTTAAAGCTTTTAAGTCACAACAAAATTACAAGTTTACAAATTTGAATTTCTAAGTGAAATATCTTAAATACCATATTAACCCTTTCCTCGCCAGACTAAATATTATTTTAAGTTTCCAGCCACCGCCAGCATTTCTGATCCCATTCACTCATATTTCCAGACCCACAGAATAATTTGTTCTGTGAATGTGTGAACAGTGAATACATCAAACTAAAGGAGACACCTTCTGTTTTTTATTCCGTTTCTTTTTTTAATCAACATTTGAATTTTGCATTTTCATAAAAAAGAAAACAAAAAAAATTTTGTTTGGCAAATTAATGTCGTCAAATTTTTGACATAGCAATAAATTCATTACTCAGATACATGTTTACAAAGCAGACAGACGTTTGCTGCTTGTCTTTTTATTCATTTAACTCTTGTGTGTAAATGAAGAGTTTACAAGGCGTTTCTAAGACGGCGTTGGTTCCTCATGACCTGTCGGTCAGTGAGCAGAGACAGTTTTGTATTTGTTGCGTTTCCCAGCCCCCGTGCTCTGCTGTATTTACCAGGCTGTGCTTCGCTGCAGCTCTGATCTCCTCTTCATCCTCTCACCTTCTCTCTGGTCTTTGTCTTTTTCAGGTTTTCACAGCACTTCCTTTTCCAACCCTACTCCATCACTCAGACCGCTACCATGCGCAGGTTCAGCTCTGAGGGATCCCTCCTGGATCTCGACTTCCTCCCATGGAAAAGGGTGGCACTGAACAGCCCACATTATGAGAGGAGCCAGGACCCCGGCACCTACACACCTCACTTGACGGACGATGAGCTGGGCGAGCGCTCACCCGTCCTGACTCCCACCATCCTGGAGCCGGGAGCGAGTCCCGGCCAGGCGGGGAAGAGGGAGCTGACCAAGGAGCAGAGCATCAGTGTGGAGAACCTGAGCGAGCTGCAGAAACAGGACAAGAACTACCTGGAAGTGTGTGTGATCAACGACGGCTGCAGGGCCTACAGTGACAGCCAGCTGGCCCCGGGCCCCCAGGGCAGCACGGAGAGCATGGAGAGAGACGATCTGCCCTCCCCGTCTACTCCCTCCTCCTCCAACCCTTTCTCCTCCAAGTACCAGCACAGACACCACCACCATAGAGCCAAACTGTCCGCCGCTAAACTGCACCTCAAGAGTCTCTTTGGACAGGTGGGTCAGTTCAGTCTCTCCTGGCAGGTTCTGAAAAAGACATATTTATTACTCTGTGTTTATTTTTTTGACATTTTGTCAACAATTTTTGGAAATTTTATGAGTATTTTTCAGACATTTATTTAATTTTTTCAGACATTTTAAAAATATTTTCCGGACATTTTATTAATTTTTTTAAGACATTTTATTTGTTTTTTTTTCAGGTATATTGTAATTGCCACTGTTATGAAATATTGACTAATTAAATGAACCAGTTATGCTTCGGTAAACAGTTGAAGTTCAACATTTTAACATATTAACATAATTAAACATAATGTGCTTCGAGCACTTCGCTGAGATCACACAGCTACTGAGCTCCACGTCAGTGACTCCATCTGCTGATGACGACCACGTGAAAAGGTTGAAATCTTTGCAGAAGGTCATTAAATGTACCGTGTGCTCAGATTGTTGAGAGAGTTAAGTAGAGTCGGAAAATAAGAATTAAAAATGATCGTGACTCTGCGCACAAGATGACAAACACACTGTCGCTTAGTTTACAGACTTGTTTCTATGTGTCAGTGACACCTGGAGTATTTTACACTAAAAGCTGCTTGATGGTTTCTCAGATCTCCAGTGAACTTTGTGGTTTCTCTTTCAGAGTCCTCATTCCTCACACTCCAACCTGGCCAACACAGAGCACAAAGAGAGGTGAGAGTCCTGTTTGTTTCAGGTGCTAAATGTTTCTGATTGACAGACAGATATTATCTCAGGTAAAATAAGACAACAGCAGGGTGCCGAGCTGTTTGGCCTCCAGGTGTTACTCAGATAAGGAGTTTGACGCCTGCTGGTTCACCTGTCAACAAGCCAGACACTGAGGCGTGGTAGCTGAGGAAAGAGATTGATTGGCTACGATCTGGTACCTGAGCCAAAGATTCTCGAGGCAGTGCTGAGAACCAGTCGGACATTAAACAACTTCGCCACAATATCTGAATTTTGGAAGCAGGAAAGGATGAAACGCCCTCATAAAAAGATCTACCCACGTCTGATCCATGAGCTCTGCATTGAACGAGTCTAGATGAGTCAGACGATGGTGGATATCCCTGGAAGTAATTTGGGCAGTAATTCTAGTGTTATCTTATAAGATTGTTGTGGAGCCACACAGCGTCCTGATGACATGTGATGATAGCCATGTCTTTTGGCACAAACTGACTGACGTCTGCTGTCTCTCTCTGTCCTGTTGTGCTCCTGGTCCACAGTGTCACAGAGAAGAGGTCTCGCCTGCTCTTCATGCGTCAGTGGAGTCAGGTGGGCCACGGTAAGAGGAGCAGGATCAGTCGGGAGGAGCTGGAGAAGTGGGCCGAGTCCCTGAACGCTCTGCTGGACAGCCAAAGTAAGTCTGCTGCTTCGTTGTGGGGTTGGAGGTTGATTTAGCCAAAAGAACATGTTAATGGCTCATGAAGGCATTGGTTTGAGGAAGTAAAGGAATCTCCTTTTTTTATGTGCAAGTTGATTAATGTGATTATTTTCCATTTAAATCACTGAACAAACCAGATCAATGGGCGGCAGTACAGACGTCTGGAACCAAGATAACTTGTGATGTAGATAACGTTTGAGGCTGCTCTCACACCTGCCCTGTTTGGTTCAGTTCAGTCAAACTCAGGTGTGTTTGCCCCCTCAGTGCGGTTCATTTGTGCAGGTGTGAACACAGCAAAACAACCGGACCGAGACCTTCTTGAAGAGGTGGTCTCAGTCCGGTTCCAAAGGAACTCTGGTGCAGTTGGTTTGTGGTGAGAAGGTGTTCCGACCTGGATGTGAAGCAACTGCAGTCACATGACACATTGTTTGGGTTAAACATGAGCATGTTACAGTCCTGGAGGATTATTAATGTGCACCTCCTCCTGTACTGCCTTAATATGCACATTCAGCACATCCAATGCATCAAAACATTGTTTTCTAGTTGGAGCCGCGCCTCGTTTTCAAACTGTATGTTTTGACTAAAATGAACATTGACAGCAATATAGTCCACGATGAGCAGCGCTAAAATCAACCTGCGTAGTTGTCCCTCCATTGTGACATTAGAAAGTGTCACATTTATCTTGCAAGTGTACTCTTCTTCAACGTTTGCTTTACTTCCTGGATTTTTCCCACATGGAAATTCTGACCAATCAAGAGCAGCTTTCTCACACAAGGCATTTGATCTGGTCCTCTTGTAAATGCTGCCGTGAGAACACCAACCAACTCTAGGCAATTATACAACTTTGGAACAATATGAGTCAAAGGAGACAGCAGTCCTGTTAGAAGTGTGTCTGAGGTTGGCTGATCCGTCCAAAGGAAGGGGTCTCAAATTAACATTAAATTGCTTTGGACTGAGTGGTATCTAACGGCGAGGACTGCAGATTGCAACCAGCTGAAACTTCTCGCCTTTAGGATTCCTTCAGCGTTTGTCCTTCAGGAGGTTTTCACCGGGAGCCAAACTGTCCACAGAGGTCTCTTCCTCCAAAACAAACGCTCATCGGACTGTTTGTCCGTTTTATCTGTTTCAGTTACCTTTTAAGAAGCAAACAAAGAACATAAGCCAGAACAGAAATCTTGTTTGTCCTCGCTGTCACAGACGTAAAGGTAACAATGTGCCAATAAAACAGGAGAAGAAGAAGAAGACCCACAGCTAATGTAAACACTCCAGACTTTAAAACATACACAGGCTTTATGGGTGTTTTATGAGGTTGACATGTATTCAACATGCTTACATACATAAGGCCTGAGGGCTGATACATGTAGCTTCAGCTGATGTTAGCTGATAACTCGTCTGCACTTTTCATGGCGGCTCTGAACTCTACACCCTGACATTTCACTGACTGACCACTTCTGCCTTGGAGAAATGTTTGTGCAACCAAAAGTCAAATCTGTCTCAAGTTCCCCTGCGTCGGTCTGAACTCAAATGTTGCCGCAGTGATGTTGACATCCGAGCTGACGTCACTGGTTACTGTGTGCCGTGCAGTAAAACCAAGAGAGCAGCACTTCCCCTGACCCCACCGCTGCATCTATGAATAGCACAGAGAGTTAACACTACCACAAGATGCTCATAAATCACTGCCCCTACAGCACATCGCACCAGCCTGACATTAACTAGGGTTAAAGTTGCAGCACTGCAGGTTAGGACACGTCTGCACAGGTGGATTCCTTAATCACTTCTTTGTTTCCTGGTAGTAATGTTTCTGATGGCGTGTTCCAGTAACCTCCATGATGACACCCACATCATTGTCACCCTCGTCAGCCAAACCTGGACAGGCTCTGATCAACCCTCTGATAACACAGCACTACAGGATTCTTTAGATGCCACAGAATGTTTCCATAACTGATAATCATGTGCCCGTTTACTACAAGTGATGTTCCTAAATTTATCACTTGTCAAGTCATTAATGTGCTTTTTATAACCACCAGACAGCCTCTGCTTTCTGTTTATTTCTTTTCTTATGAACTTTGTTTGACATTAGTGTTAAAGCACTTGTGAATGACAGTGTGATGTAGTTAAAGTCAGGGGAAGAGTAGAGATATGGACAAAAATATAGTCCAGATTCAGTGGGTTATTATTCAGGGACAGCTGGAAAGGTCATTTTCTTCACACAGGCGAAGAACAGCCCCCACGTCTTTTTCAATTTCCCCGGAGAGCCTCTTGGTGTATGTCGGATTTCTCAGGCTGTAAATCACTGAGAGTCTCTTTTATCCACAAAGTGTGGGAGCGCTGTGGTGGTGGTAGAAAATACCGACATATATATCGTGTATCACCAGTCAGCCCTATTAGACGTCTAACCAGTAATGTTACGAAAGCTACAAGATCTGCTCTGAGCTTAAGCAAAGGCAACTGAGAGATGCTGAACAGGGCTGTAACGGCATTCAGCTCAAACAATGTCCCACTTACCTCTGATGAAACGTTAAAAACACAGTCCAGTAGTTATGCAGCGATACGACCAAAACATATGTGCGTGTGTTGCAGGTGTGTGATGACATTTTTCACTAGAGGGGTCAATATTTTCATACATTTGAAATCGTCTAACTTAAGTTTATTAATTTACATTGAGTCAACTCATGTCTGGCACAGACAGATGAGGCATGTGTTAGACCACAGGTTGGAACATGTGTTAGACCACAGGTTGGACCATGTGTTAGACCACAGGTTGGACTATGTGTTAGACCACAGGTTGGACTATGTGTTAGACCACAGGTTGGACCATGTGTTAGACCACAGGTTGGACTATGTGTTAGACCACAGGTTGGACTATGTGTTAGACCACAGGTTGGACCATGTGTTAGACCACAGGTTGGACTATGTGTTAGACCACAGGTTGGACCATGTGTTAGACCACAGGTTGGACCATGTGTTAGACCACAGGTTGGACCATGTGTTAGACCACAGGTTGGACCATGTGTTAGACCACAGGTTGGACCATGTGTTAGACCACAGGTTGGACCATGTGTTAGACCACAGGTTGGACCATGTGTTAGACCACAGGTTGGACCATGTGTTAGACCACAGGTTGGACCATGTGTTAGACCACAGGTTGGACCATGTGTTAGACCACAGGTTGGACCATGTGTTAGACCACAGGTTGGACCATGTGTTAGACCACAGGTTGGACCATGTGTTAGACCACAGGTTGGACCATGTGTTAGACCACAGGTTGGACCATGTGTTAGACCACAGGTTGGACCATGTGTTAGACCACAGGTTGGACCATGTGTTAGACCACAGGTTGGACCATGTGTTAGACCACAGGTTGGACCATGTGTTAGACCACAGGTTGGACCATGTGTTAGACCACAGGTTGGACCATGTGTTAGACCACAGGTTGGACCATGTGTTAGACCACAGGTTGGACCATGTGTTAGACCACAGGTTGGACCATGTGTTAGACCACAGGTTGGACCATGTGTTAGACCACAGGTTGGACCATGTGTTAGACCACAGGTTGGACCATGTGTTAGACCACAGGTTGGACCATGTGTTAGACCACAGGTTGGACCATGTGTTAGACCACAGGTTGGACCATGTGTTAGACCACAGGTTGGACCATGTGTTAGACCACAGGTTGGACCATGTGTTAGACCACAGGTTGGACCATGTGTTAGACCACAGGTTGGACCATGTGTTAGACCACAGGTTGGACCATGTGTTAGACCACAGGTTGGACCATGTGTTAGACCACAGGTTGGACCATGTGTTAGACCACAGGTTGGACCATGTGTTAGACCACAGGTTGGACCATGTGTTAGACCACAGGTTGGACCATGTGTTAGACCACAGGTTGGACCATGTGTTAGACCACAGGTTGGACCATGTGTTAGACCACAGGTTGGACCATGTGTTAGACCACAGGTTGGACCATGTGTTAGACCACAGGTTGGACCATGTGTTAGACCACAGGTTGGACCATGTGTTAGACCACAGGTTGGACCATGTGTTAGACCACAGGTTGGACCATGTGTTAGACCACAGGTTGGACCATGTGTTAGACCACAGGTTGGACCATGTGTTAGACCACAGGTTGGACCATGTGTTAGACCACAGGTTGGACCATGTGTTAGACCACAGGTTGGACCATGTGTTAGACCACAGGTTGGACCATGTGTTAGACCACAGGTTGGACCATGTGTTAGACCACAGGTTGGACCATGTGTTAGACCACAGGTTGGACCATGTGTTAGACCACAGGTTGGACCATGTGTTAGACCACAGGTTGGACCATGTGTTAGACCACAGGTTGGACCATGTGTTAGACCACAGGTTGGACCATGTGTTAGACCACAGGTTGGACCATGTGTTAGACCACAGGTTGGACCATGTGTTAGACCACAGGTTGGACCATGTGTTAGACCACAGGTTGGACCATGTGTTAGACCACAGGTTGGACCATGTGTTAGACCACAGGTTGGACCATGTGTTAGACCACAGGTTGGACCATGTGTTAGACCACAGGTTGGACCATGTGTTAGACCACAGGTTGGACCATGTGTTAGACCACAGGTTGGACCATGTGTTAGACCACAGGTTGGACCATGTGTTAGACCACAGGTTGGACCATGTGTTAGACCACAGGTTGGACCATGTGTTAGACCACAGGTTGGACCATGTGTTAGACCACAGGTTGGACCATGTGTTAGACCACAGGTTGGACCATGTGTTAGACCACAGGTTGGACCATGTGTTAGACCACAGGTTGGACCATGTGTTAGACCACAGGTTGGACCATGTGTTAGACCACAGGTTGGACCATGTGTTAGACCACAGGTTGGACCATGTGTTAGACCACAGGTTGGACCATGTGTTAGACCACAGGTTGGACCATGTGTTAGACCACAGGTTGGACCATGTGTTAGACCACAGGTTGGACCATGTGTTAGACCACAGGTTGGACCATGTGTTAGACCACAGGTTGGACCATGTGTTAGACCACAGGTTGGACCATGTGTTAGACCACAGGTTGGACCATGTGTTAGACCACAGGTTGGACCATGTGTTAGACCACAGGTTGGACCATGTGTTAGACCACAGGTTGGACCATGTGTTAGACCACAGGTTGGACCATGTGTTAGACCACAGGTTGGACCATGTGTTAGACCACAGGTTGGACCATGTGTTAGACCACAGGTTGGACCATGTGTTAGACCACAGGTTGGACCATGTGTTAGACCACAGGTTGGACCATGTGTTAGACCACAGGTTGGACCATGTGTTAGACCACAGGTTGGACCATGTGTTAGACCACAGGTTGGACCATGTGTTAGACCACAGGTTGGACCATGTGTTAGACCACAGGTTGGACCATGTGTTAGACCACAGGTTGGACCATGTGTTAGACCACAGGTTGGACCATGTGTTAGACCACAGGTTGGACCATGTGTTAGACCACAGGTTGGACCATGTGTTAGACCACAGGTTGGACCATGTGTTAGACCACAGGTTGGACCATGTGTTAGACCACAGGTTGGACCATGTGTTAGACCACAGGTTGGACCATGTGTTAGACCACAGGTTGGACCATGTGTTAGACCACAGGTTGGACCATGTGTTAGACCACAGGTTGGACCATGTGTTAGACCACAGGTTGGACCATGTGTTAGACCACAGGTTGGACCATGTGTTAGACCACAGGTTGGACCATGTGTTAGACCACAGGTTGGACCATGTGTTAGACCACAGGTTGGACCATGTGTTAGACCACAGGTTGGACCATGTGTTAGACCACAGGTTGGACCATGTGTTAGACCACAGGTTGGACCATGTGTTAGACCACAGGTTGGACCATGTGTTAGACCACAGGTTGGACCATGTGTTAGACCACAGGTTGGACCATGTGTTAGACCACAGGTTGGACCATGTGTTAGACCACAGGTTGGACCATGTGTTAGACCACAGGTTGGACCATGTGTTAGACCACAGGTTGGACCATGTGTTAGACCACAGGTTGGACCATGTGTTAGACCACAGGTTGGACCATGTGTTAGACCACAGGTTGGACCATGTGTTAGACCACAGGTTGGACCATGTGTTAGACCACAGGTTGGACCATGTGTTAGACCACAGGTTGGACCATGTGTTAGACCACAGGTTGGACCATGTGTTAGACCACAGGTTGGACCATGTGTTAGACCACAGGTTGGACCATGTGTTAGACCACAGGTTGGACCATGTGTTAGACCACAGGTTGGACCATGTGTTAGACCACAGGTTGGACCATGTGTTAGACCACAGGTTGGACCATGTGTTAGACCACAGGTTGGACCATGTGTTAGACCACAGGTTGGACCATGTGTTAGACCACAGGTTGGACCATGTGTTAGACCACAGGTTGGACCATGTGTTAGACCACAGGTTGGACCATGTGTTAGACCACAGGTTGGACCATGTGTTAGACCACAGGTTGGACCATGTGTTAGACCACAGGTTGGACCATGTGTTAGACCACAGGTTGGACCATGTGTTAGACCACAGGTTGGACCATGTGTTAGACCACAGGTTGGACCATGTGTTAGACCACAGGTTGGACCATGTGTTAGACCACAGGTTGGACCATGTGTTAGACCACAGGTTGGACCATGTGTTAGACCACAGGTTGGACCATGTGTTAGACCACAGGTTGGACCATGTGTTAGACCACAGGTTGGACCATGTGTTAGACCACAGGTTGGACCATGTGTTAGACCACAGGTTGGACCATGTGTTAGACCACAGGTTGGACCATGTGTTAGACCACAGGTTGGACCATGTGTTAGACCACAGGTTGGACCACGTGTTAGACCACAGGTTGGACCACGTGTTAGACCACAGGTTGGACCACGTGTTAGACCACAGGTTGGACCATGTGTTAGACCACAGGTTGGACCATGTGTTAGACCACAGGTTGGAGCATGTGTTAGACCACAGGTTGGACCATGTGTTAGACCTAAACTTAAGTCAGGCTCTCTCTGCTTCTGCTGCTTTGATTTTGATCATTATTTGTTTGATCAGTCTCGTGTAAATTCCCCAGCTGTAAGAAAGTTCTCTGTAAAGTCATCTATCACATTCGTCCTCGCCTTGTAATGTAGTTAAAGTACAGAAGAATCTGACATCACCGCCTGACAGTAACAGAACTCCAACTCCATCACTGACGTCCAGATAAACAAGTAGACGGACGTCCAAAGAGCCGACGTGTGTCACAGACTAAGTGCTCAGTGAAATGGAAACAGCTTCTCTAACCAGAGGCACATAAACCTTTTACAGTGGTCCTCAGTCCTGACTGGAGGCCTGAACGCAGAGACAGAACAGATGAGCCATTAACAGATCCAACAACTAATGCTGCAACGCGAGCCCGCGCCCATTAAGTGACTTAATGTGTTGCTGGAAATGTTTCGTCTCTTCAGACCATCAGCTGTGATTTACTATGAGCTAAAACCCAGTCCACAGTGACGCATCTAATTACAGAGGAAGGAGGAGTAGTAATTTATTACCTCACATTCTTTGGAAGTATGAATCCAGTCTGAATGAAGCTTTGGGCTGCGATCAAAGTCTTCAAGTCTCTACAGGATGATTCTCAGACTGTGGAGAAATGAATGGAAGCAAACAGGTCATTTGAGGTGAAGCCCCACCTGCTGACACAAAGTGTTGTTTTAGTCATGATATCTTAGAAAGGAACATAAACCTGGGTTAATGTGACATACAGATCCTCTGTGCTGCTGTTATTTATCGTTATCGTGCAGTTAAAGGTGAGCGGCTGATGTAATAGTTTTGAAATGGTGTTTGAACTGCACCTGGCTCGACAGGCTGCTGCGCGCTGTAGCTCCACACTCACACTCAGTGTGTTCACGTTGAAGAAAATAGATTTATTGTGTCAGTCTGACTAAAACTGGACTTTTAAAATCCATGTAAACATCTTAGTCTGACTGAAGTCATAGTAAACTGAACTTCACAAAGTCACATAATGGGATTAGTGATGCTGTAAATAAATTTAACTGACTTTACTTCTTCCAAACTCGAGACATGCTGACGGACGTGTGCTGTATGTAACACACTGACTATGAAGAAGTACCTAAATTTATATAACTCCACTTCAAAACATCCAAACTATCCTGTAACCTTCGTGACATGCAGACGTCCTCTCACGTCCCAACAGTCCGATCATTTAGAGATGATCTCATTTAACGTGTAGGAGCTACTTAATGCTTGAATATGTTTTGTGCACTCGGTGCTGTGACTGTATTTCACTCGCAGCTCGTCTGAGGCCGGACTGCAGCTCTCTGTGTGACTCGGCCTCCTTATCAGTGCCATGCTAATTCACCGTCCTGTGCGGCTGACGTGTGAGCTGTGGCATGTTGTAGGTGTGGTGTCGGTGGTTTGACGCGTCACTGTACAAAGTACTCTGTCATGGTTGAAACGGCGCACTGAAAACAAGCCGTTGATCAAAGCCCAGTAGGAAGTCAGCTGGAGCAGAGACGAAGGGCGTGTGCAGAGACTTGACAATGAACCTGGAAACACTTGTAGTTTGTGATGTACATATAAGGCCTGAGGGATGTTGTGTCAGTGTGTGGGTGTCCTCTTGACATGTGCGTAATGTGACGCTGCACTGTGAGGTAAGCCCCATTTATCTTCTCCCTCCTCCTCCTCCTCCTCCTCCTTCCAGCTGGTGTCTCTGTGTTTGGAGCATTCCTGCGCTCAGAGTTCAGCGAGGAGAATCTGCAGTTCTATCTGGCCTGTGAACAGTACAAACAGTCGTCCAACAACTTCAGCCTGCACCGGAGGGCCAAGGACATCAGTGCCACCTACATCCAGCCCGGCGCCCCCCGCGAGGTACACGCCCGCTTTAATATTCAGTATAGTGACATGCATCAACTTCTCCTCATTAAACAGGAAGTGTAACTCAGGTCCTGTCACACGTCTCTACCTCTCTTTCTTCCTTGTGTTTGCTGTACGACTCAGAGTGTGTGTGTCCCTCTGAACAATGTGCTCTGTGTGTTTTGGGTGCTCCTTGTGTTTTCAGAAACTTGTGTGGGCGGTTCATGACGTCACAGCGTCGAGTCAATAGCTGCATTCATGAAGAGCTGGTTTGTTTTGTTCCACAAATAGAAAGAGTTTAACCAGAATAAATAACCTCTGATGTCAACGCCTCACTTATAATATTTGTACATATACACTGTAAACCTTAATTCACTCACTTGTTTTGAGTCCACTGACACAAAATAAACGTGTCACATGACCCGTCTGACAGAATCAAAAACAGTGATGTTAAACTGGCATGAATTCCTTCATCATATGAGCATAAAAACACTGAGTTCACATTTTATTAAACTATAAAGTTCTGTCGCAGCGAGCTTTGGTCAAAGATACTGGATTACTACAAGATGGCCCACCTACAATATCCTCCCATTGTATGACATGGTTTACATTTCCGGTCTCCTAAGTAGGCGTTGTGCCCCGTAGCCCAATCAAAGACGAGTATCCCCAACCTCGCTTCTGTCAACATGTGTGTACCCTTACTGGCCGTAAGCTAAATAAATAGACTGTCTGTCAAAAAAATATTTTTTCCAGCGGATGTCTTAGTTACAACATGATTGAGCTAACTGGAGTAGCTTCATGTCGTATCCGACAACGGGAGGCTTTTAACAGATGACGTCCTGATGTTAGCTTTGCTGCTGCTGTTAGCTGTCCCTGTCAGCTGATGCTTTCTAGACATCGTGATTTCCCAAAACTGAATAAATACCACACATAGCAACACAAAACTGCTTTGCTAGCTCAATCATGTTGTAACTAAGATATCTGCTGGAAAAAATATTTTTTAAATCCAGTATCTTTGGTGAAACTGCACTGATTTCAGCACCAGAGAGGAGATATCTGTTGCCAGATCTCGCGAGAGTGTGTTGTTGAGACAGAGACAGGTCTTGAACAAAGTAAATTTTCTCCTGATTTGTCCGTCTGAAATTTGCCATTTTGGTGTCGGAATGTTCTTAAGATATGTGGCTTGTGTTAAATGGGTCCAATATTTGCTTCCGTGACTATGGGGCGAAAGAATCGTCCATAATCTGTAATCATGTTCATTTCTCCCACTGAAGTCAATGGACTCAGGACCTGCTGTTAGTCTAAAGGGGCGTGGTGGTCGCCAACCCCACGTGACACTGATACAGGAAACTGACTCGCAGTGGACCGTCTTGGTTTGGTTTCAAGAGATGAACTCTGAACCAGGAAGTGATCTTTGTTTCACCTCAGCACAACTTTACGTCCAACACTGGGTTCATCCTGAAACCTGATCTCCTTTCTATGTTTCCTTCAGCTGCGTCTCTTCCACGCGTCTTAGCTCCGCCCTCGTTCGACATGGAGAAGAGATGAGAGGAAATCCTTCAGAGGAATGAGATGTCTTTGTCTCTGAAGTGTCACGTTTTTGTTCTCTGGTGTCAAGTTTTGTTTCCTCAAATTCAATTTTGCGTTCCCTCACACTGTGTTTAGCGTCGACTTTAATTCAGTTGCATTACCTCGCATTGTATTTTGCATCCCTCACCCTGTGTTGTGTCCCTTGCATGAAGCTTTTCACTCCCTCATGTTAAGTTTTGTGTTACATCACATTAAGGTTTGTGTAGGAGCAGTCAGTGTGTGTGACAGACAGGTCAGAGCCGACAGTTCAGCTGGTACAAACGTTAAAAGCTACAAGAGCAGATTCTAATACAGTGGAGCTGACCTCTACCTGAGTGTAGCACACACTAACTTCCTGTCTCGTCCTGTTGAAGGTGAACCTGGACAGTAAGACCAGAGACCTGACCATCCAGCTGCTGCAGGCTCCGTCTCACACCTCGCTGTCCCACGCACAGAAGCGTATCTACTCTCTGCTGGACACAGACTGTTATCCTCGCTTCCTGCAGTCCGACGTCTACCTCTCCTTACTCCGAGAGGCCGACTAGGAGCCGCCATGTTGAAGACACACCTGGACTCAGGAGGAGGAACAGCGGCTCAGTGGTTTCCAGAGCTTCCTAAACATTAACAACAATAAACTTAAACTTGTCATCAGAAGACGGAGCTGCTGTGCAGGAAGTGTAGAGATGAAACTAGGAGCAGAAGCTGATGCCTGTTGGACACTGTAGAACATAATTTAATATATGTTCTCCTCAAGAGATGTTAATTTTAATATTTCATGTTTCTGTTTCCCCTGCTGACAGTCTCTATGCTAAGCTAAGCTAAGCTAAGCTAAGCTAACCACGTCCTGACACCTGCTCCTTCACTGAACACACACATATTCGATTGATATGATCCTTTCATCAAAAAAAAGAAATTCCTATAAAGTTAAACTGTTCTTTACTTGGCTTCTCATTGGCTCTGAGAATGTGGAAAATCAGACGAGGCAGTTCTGTGTCCCTCCCTCCACATGACCCGTGCAACTCTGCAGCGCTGGTTGTAATGATTAAACATCCTCCCTGTGAGCGGCGAGCGTCCCCACAGTCCAGTGAGCCCGTCTGAGTTTCCTCTGCTGACAGAAAGGAAAAACAAGTTCAGCAAGAATGAGCTCTGTGCTGCTAAAGGTCAAAGTACGACGTGACTTACTTTTATAGTAAAGGTGGGAAACCTGAGCGAATGGACTCGGCAGGTGAAACGACTACGTGGCAACAGGAAGTTGGGATCAGTCATCGTCTAAACACACAAAGACAAACTGTGTACGACACAATGGCCTCAGAAACACTCCGTAATCTAAGTAGGTTGTTTGTAATGAGAATGTTGAGCAGCGTTTCCTGGACTGTTGAGTCTGAGAGGATGAGACACCTTCATCATGAGGAAGACCACTGTTAAAGAAACGGAGAAGTGATTGAGAGTTTGGAAGAGAAAGAAATAAAATCCTGATTTTGTATCTGTGTGTGTGTGTGTGTTGCTGAGATACTGAGCGACACAGGGTCAGAGCAAACATGAATGCACACTGCAGTCTGTGGTTGGTTCAAGACTTTAAAGGGATAGTTTGCATTTTTTGCAGTGGGATTGAATGAGATACTCACCTACAGTCAGTGCATTACTCACAGGTGATGGCGGTCGACACGCTCTCTGTTTGGAGAAGCAGACAGGACGACGGCCACAGAGGCTCAGCAGTACTTTGCTTCAGAGGTGTCAAACTCACATTAGTTCAGGGGCCACATTCAGTCCAGTTTGATCTCAGATGGTCCGGACCAATAAAACCACCTCACAGTAACCTGTAAGAACCATCAGCTCCAATGTTTCCATTTTTTTTGTCCATTCTGTAGACGTTCATCCAGGGCGTAAAATTAACTTCTTACCTCCTCTGCCATTGGCTAGTGACCTCCGAAAATTTACCGGCCAAACATATTTTTCACCAGCCAAATAAAAAATCGTGCCTTGTTTGACTAAAAATAATTACCTTACCTTCCAACTTCAGGAAAATCCAACCCTGTCCTCTGTGTGTCTTTGGCGTGCTTGCGGCAGAGGGTGCAGCTCATCTTGTTGGTGTGCAGGTCGTAGGTCAGCCATGACCGCGGCTGGCCAACCTCGTCTAGTTTCCATTTTTCGATAAAATGCCGTGCGACATTTGTACTCCGTTTAACTGTCTGTTCTTCTTGTCCAACATGTTCATCTTCATTGTTCCTCTTCTGGTGGTGGCTTCACAGCAGAAATGTGTCAGAAGTTACCATAGAATGCCCAGGGTTCCAGTAGCTGACGTCATGCGTTCCCGGCACACATACAATAAGCCGCGAGGATCAAAATAGTGTGACACAGCTGGCAAAAATGGTCGAAGCACATAAAAAACCCACATGTAATTCAAAATTTTCCATCGGCCAGTGGCGGGTGTGTGTTTTTGTTTTACACGCCAAACTCATTTTTTACCCGCCATTGGTGCTTGGCGGGTGTTAATTTTACGCCCTTTCACAAAACAGATGAACAGTCTGAGATGTCTCAAGAAAAATAAGATCACTTTCAACAAGGTCTCAGTTTTTCCACGTTCAGTCAGTTGACGTCTCTCTGTCATGACGTCATTTATCCAAACATCACCTGATCCAGATTCTTTTGATCTGAAGCGGCTGGTTGACGATATTTGGCACAATGTTAAATATCCAGACACCTCTTAGTTTGGTCATCTAGTCGGCCGGATTGGACCTTTAGGTGGACGGGTTCTGGCCCACGGGCCGTGTGTTTGAGTCCTGCCCGGGGTCAGCGACCCAACATATAACCTACAAAAAGGTGTGTGACATGTAAAGAATATTCATTTATTCACTCATTTTCTGTAACTGCTCCCGTTTGGGGTCCAGGGGGCTGAACCTTCTCCCAGCTGACATCGGGTGAGAGGCGGGTTCACCCTGACCACTGCACCACCGTGCTGCCTAGGTTAAAATATGTATGTGTGTGTGTGTATATATATATTCATGGGTAAAAAGGACTTTTATTGACTGGTGATGGGAACAGGTCAGTTCTGGTGCTGAGCTTTACAGGTATAGGTGGGTGTAGGTTTTCAGAGCTGGACTGGTGCAGGACTCTGCCTGATATTGAGAATATCTTCACAGCTTTACCTCAGACAGCCCTTACCTTTGGCACTACATTTTCTAAACCGTACCTGATTGTTGAGTTGAGGTGGTTCAACATCTGATCACGATCCTCCTGGTCCAGCTGGTAGGAGGCCCCGGGGCAGACCCAGAACACACTGGAGGGATTATAGATCTCATCTGGTCTGGGAACACCTCGGGTCCTCCAGGAGGAGCTGGATAGTGTTGCTGGGGAGAGGGACTTCTGGGGTGCTTTGCTCAGCCTGCTGCCCCTGCGACCCGGCCCCAGATGAAAATGGATGATTTCTGTCATTTAAGGTATTTTTTTTTTTAATCACGCTGCTGTTTGTTGAAGTCTTTGTTTGGTTTTAATCAGTTATTTAACACTATAAAACCAACTCATCCTCACTGTGACCTCGTCACGTGTCCACGTTTGGTCATGGACTTTCCACGTCCACATATGACGTCCAAGGTACCCTGGGTGTGTTGGTTGTTGACGTTCTGGGACGCCGTGTCAACTTCAGCCTGTTACATGCATTGTCTGTTTTCAAAATACACTTCTGTTTTCACAGGAAATGCACAGTTTGCATAGTTAGTGTAATTCTACCTGATGGTTGGTGCAGCAGAGCTCTTCAGAGTGTGTCTCCTGCTTATCTGGTGATGGTTTTAAATAAACTTTGTCCTAAGAGAAATGTTCACGGGCACGCACCATCTTTGAAATCTGTAGAAAAGTTTTAGTCGGCTTGCTCAACAGCACTTCAGTGCATGAAATATATTTTTGTTCTCAGCTGCTGCCGAACATATAAACATACATATCCTGTTACATGCTGTTTGTTTGCATCTGTTCACTGAACGTCTTCTTTTGTTCTTCCTGGACAAGGAGCAGCAAACAGCTGATCAGACGGCACAGTGATGAGGTGTCTTTGTTCAGTGACATCTGAGGTGAGAGCAGCGAGGTGCCGCCGCCCGGCTGATCAGCAGCTGGATCTCTGCCAGAGGAGGAGTGGCGTTTGGATCAGAGCTGACTGAATACACACAGAGGAGTTTACTGAAGTCGTTCTCAGGAGCCGTCAGCTGCTGCTGTGGTTTAACACTGACACAGATGTTCTCTGAAACATCTCAGTGTGCTCTAACAGGCAGAGGAACTGGAGCCAAATGTTCTGCCGCCTTGTTTGTTAATGTTGTTTTCAGTGTGAGGATGGTTTCGCTGACGTGATCCTTGTCTCTCTGTGAAAACCACCACAACGTTCTGATTTCAAGGACGCGTGGGGACCGGACGCTTCTCTTCTCTCTGTGGTCTCCACTCAGCTGTGAGCCGACCGGTCATCACATTGTATATCTCCAGTAACTGTGCTGTAACCCAGCTCTCCATCAGCTGATGACTCCATCTCAGTCAGGTCCTGTGAGGTAAACTGAGCCTCCATCCTTTGTATCATCCTGTGTGTTTGCATTAGTGTTGTCCATCATTGGATATCAGCTTCTGTATTGATTTTTACTACATTACCAATCCCTTGACTGCCACACTGTACAGCAGTGGGTCCCAACTGGTGGGAAAACAAAGTACAGTGGATTTCTGGCACAACCTTTTATTTTGAAGTGCTGTTTCCTGCTGTTGAGTGAGAGACTAACAGAGACAGCAAACTGGTTTGACAGGATGACGCTGCGTATATTAAACTGTGGACCTTAAACTAATGACTGAGGACAAATCTGGACCCCGTGGTCGGACCAGGTGGGAACCACTGCTCTACAGTCTGCCAGAAAAAGATTTAGCATGTCCCAGTGCTCCAAGAAGGGTGTCTGGGCTCAGCCTTAGAGATAGGGGGAGGAGTCAGACATCTGGAGGGAGCTCGGAGTAGAGCCGCTGCTCCTTCATGTTGAGGTGGTTCAACATCTGATCAGGATCCTCCTGGTCCAGCTGGTAGGAGGCCCCGGGGCAGACCCAGAACACACTGGAGGGATTATAGATCTCATCTGGTCTGGGAACACCTCGGGGTCCTCCAGGAGGAGCTGGAGAGTGTTGCTGAGGAGACGGACGTCTGGGTGCTTTGCTCAGCCTGCTGCCCCGAGACCTGACCCCGGATAAGTGGACGAAAATGGATGGATGAGAACACCAGGATGTTCTTCTACATCAGGTCTGGTTTTGCAGTGTGAAAGCCAGCGTGCTTTTCTGTCTGTTCTGACCCAGTTTTCTGCACAGCGGACGATACATCACATCACACAGAAGTTGCAATGACAGACGACAGCACATCCAAGTAACTGAAGACCAGTGGAAGAGTAATAACAGGAACATTAACTGTTTAAGTGAACAAAACAATCATAAATATTACAAAAGGACAGATTTATAAAAGTGACAATGAGAGAAGAGAAGATGTTTCACATGTTCGGCTCTACGATCTGTGCAGTTATAACTTTAAAGTTCAATGACCCACATCACAAAGTAACAGCAGCAGAGCTCTGAGGGCCGACCTCCGTCTCTGGAGAACTCAGTAAGTGGCGTTTGTTTATCTCCAAGCAGGAGGGTCAAAGTTCAGGGTGTGATGTCATGAGACAGCAGTGTGTCCTGACTGTGTGCAGACTGCATCAAACAGTTCGTACGTTTTAAGAGCAGCTGCTAAAGTCAAAAGACAAAGTGTGTGATTCAGATTCACAGTGTGAGCTGATGCTGCGACAACAAAACTGCGTTAAGATCTCAGACTGCTCCGCTCTGCAGACTCTGACTCAGCTCGAGGAAATGACTCCAGAAGGACTGTGGGTAGAATACACAGATGTTGACATTTGATAAGCAGCAGTTCCTCGTGCTCGTTAAAGGGCCAGTCCGCCCAGTGCACGGGGAAAGACACGGACCTGTGGGAGAAACTCAGACCTCCACCCTGACACACAGGAAGTGACTGGAAGTAATTAACAGCTTTTATTGGCACTACTGATTTTGGGAGTAAAGTAGAAAGCAGCTTCATGACTGTGTGTTGGTAAAATCATGTGGAAAACACGTCACAAACAACACGTCAGTGAAACACGTCTGTATTTGGCCTCTGGCACCAGTTTGGTCGACTCGTTCAGATGATGTCATCGACAGTTAAAGGCAGAATAAGCAGGATGTGTCAGCTGCAGTTTGTAAACACAACATTTAGATTTGGCCCCTCCTCCTCATGTGTACGATCTGGCGCCTGGTCGCTACGTCTTTGTTTGTCTTTAAAGTCAGTAGTGACGTGATAACAACAGTAATGTTATAACATGTTTGGTTTCGGAGTAACTGTGATTTTATAACTGTGACACGCTGCTGCTCAGCACTGGTCGTAGTGATGACTGGGAGGGATTATTTTTGAGTCTATACATCGTTTGTAGGAAAATCCTGCTAATCCTGCCTCCACATGACTCATCCTGGACCAGCTCACATCACAGCAGCCCTTTAAAGCAGAGACTGGGAGTGTCTTTTTCCAGAACACAGTTTGGACCCTGAAGTGAAGTCTGAAAGTTCAGAAAGCTTCAGCAGATATTTGTGTCCTGAAACAGACAGGATTCTTTCTCTGCAGCAACACGTATATAGTGTATAAACTTAGTGTCTAAAGTTTAATAAGGTCCCGGTCACCATCACCACGGCCGGGTGCTCCTGTGTTCCTGCTTGTGCTTCACCCACTGGGCGGTGTAACAGTTCTCTCCGACAGTCCACGACCAGCCTCCTCTGCTTCTGTCGCTCTGCTTCTCCAACACCTGTCTGTGGTCGGCCGACACGTCTCGTGCTGGACGCTGTGGACTGTCCAACACTCTGACCTCGTCTACAGCACCACAGGCTTCAGCGTCTGACTCCAGCTGTGTCTCTGTGCTGCCTAAGGAGCTCTGGCTGTGGATGCTGTTCTTCTTAGATGCAAACAGAGGTGGAAGGGAGAGCGGCTGTGACCTGGTGAAGGGACACGACAGGACGGGTCAGCGGAGGGAAGAGTGAGCATGAAGGCAGAGAGAAAACATGTTGGATACAAACTAACATAATAAAATGACAGTATAATAATCTGTGTGCAGACGTGTGCGACTGAAACACTGCAGAAGCAACACAACAACTCCTCGTACTGAAACACAGCTCGCCTTAAGGACTGAAACTGTTTCTGATCTGCTAAGGTTTGATTAAGGCAACTAAAACTGTTGGTTTAAGTCCGGCTGAATCACATTCAGTGAGCCGCTTTATATAACTCATTTATTAAGGCTTAAAGTTACGCATAATTAAGGGCGGGGCCACTTTGAGTGACAGCTGGTTGCTGTCAGGAAACGTAACCACAGCATAACACCAGATTCACAGAGTGTAGGTGGAGCTGTGGATTTTGCTATTTGAGTGTTTTTAGTTCATGAAAATTAACTGGTACATTTTGGCTTCCAAAACACTCTTCATCAGTGTTTGGTTGTACTGACAGACCCTCTGAGGGGTCACATGATCATCTTCTTCCTGTAAGTACATTTTGTTTTGATGGTTTTCAGCCTGTTTTCACCAAATGCTAACCAAGCTAGCAGCTAGCGTCAGTGTTAGCCCCGCCCTCACGTCTCCATATGGTCACTTCTGGCTCCAAGAATCCAAGATGGCGACGGCCAAACTGCCAAACTAGATGTTCCAGAATGGAGTCCACAAACGGTAACACTTCACTTGAAGGTATCTACATAAGAGTGACATGACACTATCATGTACATGTCATAAAGGTTTATGGCTGCTGTCATTAAGTGTCATTCGGTTTGTGTAACGACAAGTTGACATTGTTTGGGTTGTCTTGATTAGAACAACTTGATGGTTAATGTCAACTTGTCATTACACAAACCAAATGACACTTAATGACAGCAGTCATAAAGGTTTATGACATGTACATAGTCTTTATGACAAGTGTTCATGTCAGTGTCACGTCACCCTTACGTAGATACCTTCAAGTAAAGTGTTACTCCACAAACTAATGAGTGACGTCATGGTAGCTAGGTCCATTTTTTTACGTACCGTCATAATACTACTTCCTGTCTAAATTTTTTTGGTTGCTTGTCCTAAAAACAGAAGTCATGGACATAAGGGAAAGTGCACAGCTGATTCAACTACTCCACACACACACTAGTCTCGCCACCAGACAATCAGAGATCTCCGTCTTCTGATAGTCTGGGGACACTCCTTTCTAAAGTGTGTTTAACACACCGGAGAAAACGGCCGGCAACAAAGCAACGCCTCTTGCATTTTTGAAAAGGACACGTCCTCACGGAAATGTGCGCTCCCCCTTTTCACGTCCGCAAGGAAACAAACACACAGAGAGCTTGAAAATGGATGCCGAGAGATTAAACTCTGTTTTATCAAACGTGTGCTCAGTCCACAAGATTGTGGAAATGAAGGACTTACAGCGACTTGAGCCATTTTGTACCGCTACACGTGTTTCTAGTGGGACTATGTTTACGAGCACAAGAGTTCAGCGAGCCACCGAAGGACCGCCCTGCGGATTTACTATTGGTTCTGCAACGCAGGGAGTTTTTTTAAACTCTGAAAATGTATCCGCCCATCTAAACACAAAATCAGGGAGAAAGTCATCAGTCTTTAGTTAAGCAAAGCGTCTAAAGACTGACTTGTGAGTCTACATACACATACGCCTATACGAGTAACCAGTGAACAGCCGAGCGGCCACGGTGGAACCAAAGTGAAGATAACTCGAAAAATGACTGGGCAGCTGCACTCGTTACTGTGACATTAACCCTTAGCGAGTAAGAAGCCAATACTTTATCAATACATGTGTTCAGCAGCATGAACATGTAGACATGTAGACAGAGATATTCAATATGCAATATTCAGTATTTTCTGGATCTTTGAGGTGCGGTGGAAACACAAACCACACAGATTACCAGGAATTTATTTACCCAGGTAAATAAATTCCTGGTAATAAAACTTCCTGGAAATGTTGGTGGAAAAGGGGCGAATGACCCACAAACACTTCTTGTGTGTTAGGGTTGGCTCTACAGTTACACTCTCAGACACCTTCACACTCCCTGATGTGTTTGAGCCGCACGCGTCTGCACAGAGTCACTAAACCACCTCGTTCTCCTCTCTCATGCTTGTTAACCTCCCTGACAGTGAACAGTGACGTGTCAGTGTCCAGTGCCGTCGTGTAAATACCTGCTTTGTGTTGTGTGAATACTGGCCAACCTGTGTGTGTCTGTGTGTCCCAGTGCGCATGACTGGTCCTCCACTGGTCTCAGACCTGAGGACGCACAAGGTACTAACACATGAGGATGGGCAGAGCTCCCTGGATGTGCTGCACACACTAAATGTTTCCACTGGTTAGCAGGACGTCACATGATCAGGACAGCTCCTTAAACAGACACTTCAGCCTGACATCAATGTGTCCTGTAATTTACACTTATGAAGTAAGAAACCTGAAACCACAGCTTAATGACTGAGTCGACACTTAAACATCATCCCTGTTTTCTGTGATGAAAACACTCCACAGTGCTGAGGACACACTTTGTTGTTGAACATATTTAATCTTTAATATTTTGTGATGCCACAAAAATACTGTGGCAACATTTCTCTAACTCAACACCCACACACTTTTATTTTCAGAGCATTCATTAAAATGCCTGACAGGAAGTGCACCAGCTGTTACAGACAACAGGAGTGTGACGTGAGTCGTAGGGAGCAACGCAAAGCATTGTGGGACTTAAGGACACGAAGCTACAGTAGAGACTGAGTGCTATTAGACGACACGGCTGAATTTATGTCTGATCTGACTTGAGAACACGGTGAAATGTTGAACGTTTATCATCACATTATCTACTGCTGGAACTGCTCTATAATCAATGACACAAACTGTGAATCTGCAAACTGGAGCTGAACGTTTCTGGGAATGACCATTACCAGTTACTGTTGGCGGTCATTTCCAGGAGCCTAAATATCACAATATAAAGGGCGGGTGGCCGGCTTTTGGACCTACTCCACACAAGGACAATCTCTGACGCAGCTCATCGTGGCACGGCACGTCTTAAAGGGAAATTTCAGTTTATTTCAACCTGTCTCCTATCATCCTAAATTTGTTTCAAGTGACTAGTGACATACAGATAATAGTTAGCATGTTAGCCGTTAGCCTAGATACAGCCGGGGCGCATAGTAGTGTCAGACCTGTTAAAAAGTAAGTGAACAGGCAACCTTCAAGTGCAAAGTTAGTCCACTAAACAAGCTTTTTTTCCACAAAGACCGCCTCATATCGTTAGGATAAATGAGACAACACGTTTACATGTCGTTTTCTATATGTTCTCTGACATTTATCCTAACGATATGAGGCGGTCTTTGTGGAAAAAAAGCTTGTTTAGTGGACTAACTTTGCACTTGAAGGTTGCCCGTTCACTTACGTTTTAACAGGTCTGACGCTACTATGCGCCCCGGCTGTATCTAGGCTAACGGCTAACATGCTAACTATTATTTTTATGTCACTAGTCACTTGAAACAAATTTAGGACGATAGGAGACAGGTTGAAATAAACCAAAATTTCCCTTTAACTGATAATGGAAACACAAATTGGCGCTGCACAGCTTTACTCAGCGCGGCCAAGAGTTCCAGAAGAAAAGGCCCACAGTTTGTACGTGTGCTACTGTGGTCATTTAATTCATCTCACAGACTGATGCAGCGCAGCACTAACAAACTAATAGCTTAATGAACAGACAGATGAAAGAGGAGCAGCTCTGTGACTCTCTGAGTGTTGATGAAGAAACTTTATGTAACGCAACTTGACCCTGTGTCGATATAAACAGTGTTGTCTAATTTATATCTTGCTTGACACTAGGGCTGCAACTAACGATTATTTTCATTGTCGACTAATCTGTCGATTATTTCTTCGATTAGTCGACTAATTATTTCATCGAAAAATGTGTTAAAATGTTGAAAAATGTCAGTCTGTCTCTCCCAAACCCCAAAATGACGTCATCTAATGTCTTGTTTCATACTCACTCCGAAGGATGTTAGTTCTCCGTCATGGGAGAGTGTGTAAAGCTGCCAATATTTGAACACAAGAAGCTGCAATAAGAGTATTTTGGGCACTTTTATATGAAAAATGACTCAAACTGATTAATCGACTACTAAAATAGTCACTGATTATTTTAGTAGTCGATTAGTCATTTTTTAGTCGACTAGTCGTTGCAGCCCTACTTGACAATATATCAAAATATCGTACAGTCGTTACATCACCCAGCTCTACTGTGACTGATCGATTCTTGATTGTGTCCCCGTTAAGAAGCGTGTCCTTAAGTACGGATACCCAGAATGCACCATGTCACTGGCTATTTTCCACAGACGACCGCTTATCATTATTTGAGTGACGACACCTGATGAGGATCGCCAGATGCAGCTGAAAGCTCCGACAAACCCTCTAAGTGGCCCTTGAGTTATGATGATTTTGGCATCTGAATACATCCCAGCAGGAAATAATTATGACACAGTTATTACACAACATAAAGTCTTATTAAGAAACCAAGGATTCCTGCACACTGTCAAACATCTGCACACACTTTATTAATGATGGTTTAGTCCTCAGACATTCATCAGTGCATCCTAAAAATACTGTGAATGTCTGAAGAGCATCTGAGGACACAAACCTTGTTAACAAAGTGAGTACAGAGTCTTTATGTCTTCACATAAAGACATAAAATCTTTAATTCTAAACCAGAAAAAATTACAATAAATTTGTGACTAATTTTAATCTTTATTTTGATGACGTCTCAGCCTTCAGGCCTTCTTGGGCTTGTTGATCTTGAGGCTGAAACATCATCCAAACAAAAATAAAGCCATTTGCATTGTGACCATGTAACATTAAAACATGTTTAACACAGTCATCCCTCCCAGTGTGACCTGTGCGGACAGAATAACCTCCATGTTTTTAACTGCCATAAACATCGTCACCAAAGCTCACCTGGCAGCGGTCGGTCCATCAGTCCAGCAGCTCTGCTGTCCATGTGCCGACTGTACATGCTGCATCTGGCAACTAGACCCTGCTGGCTGCCAGAGAAATGGGAACAGCCAGCAGGGAGGATGAGGAGGAAACCGAAACACACAGAGCAGGGTAAAAAAGGAGAAAGGAGATGGAGGGACAGGACAGGAAGAAAACAGGAGGAAAAAAAAGAGGGGACAAAAGAAAATAAATCAATAATGACCATAACAAAACAAAACCATAACTGAGGGTAAACATGAACATATGGTGTCAATAAAACCAAACTCAGAATAAAAGCCACAGGAGGGAGATGACTGATGGGAAACAGAAGGTGCAGCTTTATCTCACACCAACCACTTTGTCTGGTTCATAATTCATGTGTGACAAAATAAATCTCTCGTTCTCTCAGGGTTTTGTGGCAGGTACTTTAATGGGTTCTACAAAAAGGCAGGCAGATAAGACAGAGCCGTCGTGTTCCCTCTGCTGGGTCGATAAGAGCTGTGTTTTAAAAAGGCCTAAAAGAGCAGACTCCTCCTCCACCGCTGCGTCTACATGTGCACCAGTGTCCTCGCCGTTATCAGCTGGGTTTAACGTATCTGAACAACGTTACAGAACATCACATGATGATCTGAAACCTGGTTTAAACTCCGTGTCCCCTGGATACTGGTGCACATGTAGACGCACTCCACGTCACAGAAACAGACTATCTATGAAGCTAAGACACCACAGCCAATCCTCTGAGGGGAGAGGCCACAGTGCCAGACAGAGGCGGTCAATGGAGGCCCAGATGAGATCTATTAAGGGAACTGTTGAAGCACCAGCAGACAATGATGACAGTGAAAAGAGGAGACGGAGTACATCAAATGGGGCGGAATGGGAGAACAAAAAAATGAAGGGGAGGAGGGAGAGAGAGAGAGAGAGAGAGAGGTTGTGTTTAGAGAGCTGCATCTTTGTGCTGGACACAATAAGTGACTAATGAGAGGAATGTAGCGTCTGTCTGCCAAACTGAGCAACACTGAAGGCCTCGGCGCTCTCTGCTGTGTCACTGCAACAACTCATTTACTGCTGCTGTTAAAAATACTACATTCAGGAACTCAGGCTGCTGTCAGCCCTAGAGTGGTCTCCTTTGGTCTGAATCAGGGACTCATGTTGTTCCAAAGTTGTATAATTGCCTAGAGTTGGTTTGTGTTCTCACGGCAGCATTTACAAGAGGACCAGATCAAATGCCTTGTGTGAGAAAGCTGCTCTTGATTGGTCAGAATTTCCATGTGGGAAAAATCCAGGAAGTAAAGCAAACGTTGAAGAAGAGTACACTTGCAAGATAAATGTGACACTTTCTAATGTCACAATGGAGGGACAACTACGCAGGTTGATTTTAGCGCTGCTCATCGTGGACTATATTGCTGTCATTGTTCATTTTAGTCAAAGCATACAGTTTGAAAACGAGGCGCGGCTCCAACTAGAAAACAATGTTTTGATGCATTGGATGATGTCATAGAGTATAAAGTCTGGAGCTGCTCCACAGACAATGAACGCTGACAGATGTTCTAGACGCCACTGAGAGCAGCCAGGAGAATGTTCTGGGTATTAGGGGACATTTTCTGTTTCACATCCGAGAACGCTACAGTAAAATAAAGATCATTTGGTCAGATGAAATCAGACTCCCATCCATCGTCTGTGGAGCAGCTCCAGACTTTATACCTGATGACATCACAAGTTTGAGACTAAAGGCTAAAACACACCTGTGCCGCACGTTGCCGCACTTCACATCATAACAACAGCTCCTGTAGCAGCTCGACTCCTCTCCTCACCACTCATGTGTAAAGAGAACTCCGTAGCTGTTGCTGTGTCTCATGTGTGATGAAGAATGGATGAGGAGAGACTCGTTGTCGAGGTCGAGGAATATCCCGAGGTAAACGACCCACAGTCCCGTCGTTATAAAGACAACGGCTAAAAAGATGCTTCCTGGTGAGTCACAGCTCTGGAGATCGGCTCTTCAGGTGAGAAGTCAACTTTAATTAGTGATTTGAAGCTAACGCAGAGGTGGAGGAGGTTCAGATCTTTCAGTGACAGTAGTGATAACTTTGTGTGGTCGTATGTTAACGAGCTGCAGTGTGACACATCCAGTGTGTGCTAGAGGCGGCACCTGACACACATCATATAACGCACCACAGCGGCGTCGGTGTGTTTTCAGCTTTGTCTGGTTTCTGACTTTGAGAGAGAAATTTGTTGAAATTCGAGGCCATGAAATAAACATACTGGAATTTTAAAATGTGGGTGGTGTTCCCCTTTAAATCTTCCCCCGACAAACACCCCCATATTACAGTTTAAAAAACTAATACTGAAACTAATAAAAGCTGAACATCTACAAACAAAACTAAACTAACTAAATATAAAACAAACCAACAAACAAACCTATAATAGCTCTGTGAAGGGCTACAGCTGTGATTACAGAGCACTGTGTGTGAACAGAGTGACAGGTTGAAGTTGAACCTGTGACGCTGGAATCCAGAGAATAAGCAGGAGTTGTAATGATGTCGTTAGGTGACAGTGAGGACGATTCAGACACAAATTACACTGGTGTCAGTTCAAAGGTATTACACCAGGGTGGAAGTGTTGTCACAGTTAGTCAAGGCAGAATCAGCAACAGCTGTGACAACACACCTGTCTGCAAGTGTTCCTGCCCACATGGCAGACATCTCTGTTTCTGAGCCAACACACTGCACAGATCACATTTCCTCTTGACTGACAGACAGATCAGAGCACTATGTGTCAAACATATATATTCCCATGCTGCAGGTAAATGACAGGTTTATATATCTGTATATATATCTTTATTATGTGTAGATGTGGCGAGGAGGACTGGAGGTACTTGTGGTGTCCTACCTGGTGCGTCTTGCCCTGCAGCGCTCGATGTGAGGGGACTGTGGACTCTGGTCCCTGCTGCCCCCGAGGGCAGAGGCCTGGGCGGCTCGTGGGGGCGCTCTGCTGGGGGAGGATCCCACGCTGAGGGAGTGGGAGTACTGGGAGGATACCGACCGCTGGGGGGAGTGAGGAGGAGCAAAGGGCCAGGGACGAGCCAGCTGCTCCTGACGCACCACTGGACGGGGGAAGAATTCTGATTAGTGTTTTTATATATTTGGAAAGAAAGTGGTAAATGTTACTGTTTGACCCTCGTTATGACCCAAGACTCAGTTTCAGTCAAGTCGAATCATCTTAAAGTAAAAACCAGTAAATGCTCGACTCATTTTTAATTTAGTTTGAACGGTTAAGAGTCTGAGTTTGTGAGACGAGAATGTTAATGTAATAAAAATGTAATGTTTCCATTTATATCTAAGAGTTTTATTTGCATGTACAACACTGTTTGTAAGTTCTACGAATGATGAGCGAGTAATTTGTGCGTAACCCATGTAATTTGAAAGGCTGCGATCATGTGACCAAAGCACTGATGGGAGTAAAGAATAAAGCAGGAAGCAGCAGACTCATAAGCAGACAGGTTGGGAGTTCCCCAGGTGACAGGTGTTAGTAACTTGGAGTCATTTTAAGGTACGTTGTTACCCTGTTTCTCTTCCTACACCAACCACAGTAACTTTAATAGCCTGAACATAACCTCCACAACTTAACGCTGAGTGCATAACTTCACTTTCAGCACATAACATCATTTATGGGGCGCTAATTCACAGGACATCATATCAGCTGTTGTATGAGGATACATCAGAGTCCTGCAGCGGGGTAATGGGTCAGTTCTGGTGCCGAGCTTTACGGGTATGAGTGTGTGTGGGTTTCAAAAATGGACCCGTGCAGGACTTTGAGTCAGAGTCTTATAAATCCATCTATCACTTCCACCCAACTATGATTGTGTCCACATGAAATGACAGTTTACCTTCTCTCTCCATTAAAGAATAGGGTTTGATCTCTCCGTCGGGCTTTTTGAGGGGAACCTTTCTCAGCTGGGCCGCTGTGGAGGAGAACACAGTCAGAGCTGGGCCAAAACAAGACCATGATGGGATCAACCCCCCCCCCCGCCCACAATATAGCCCAGCACACTGTCCTCACAAGCTCCAGTTTAACAAGGTTTCCTGTCAGTCCTATAAAGTTATCTAACAGTGGAGGTTGGAGTTCTGTTTGTGAAGCTCAGAGGGATCCGCCCAACAACACAGCTGACTGTTGGTCCTGAGACCTTCAACAACACAGAAGATTCGTCCCAAAACTTGAAACAGAGACTCAGCGTCATCATGACAGACGACCCTGGACGATATCTCCCAAAGACTGGACTAACTGCAGTGTTTCATTCAGCCAGTCAGTCCTGTTCAGTGAGCAGTTAAAGATCCAATCAAACTCTTGATTTAACATAAATGATCAGAATATTTCTCACAATGAGTTCAGTGGATTATCTTCAGTAACCAGGTCATGATTGAGGTCGCTGTTGAGTTTTCAAATGTATGTTTTCATGCTTTGAGCACAAGAGGCTGTAAAATGACAATCATTTATGCTTTTATAACATATGTGTGTGTATATAAAATCTCATTTGGAGTATGCACCCAGGAACATGTTTCACTTTTTCCAGAAAGAATTTGTGATGAGTGACAGAAGCTTGTGGAACAGCTGAGGTGTCGTCAGCTCTCTTCACTAGCTGTTACTTCTTTATTAAAATATGCTAAAACACTACAGCAGACACCTTTCTGTACCGTCTGTCATATTTCCTGCTTCAGACAGCAGCTTATATTCTCAAACTATATCACTGTGGGTGTGTCTGGTGTCCCTGCAGGGCAGCTGCTGCACCACTGGTCTTGTTCTGTCGGCTACAAGCTGCAGATAAACCTCTCCGTACTTTATGCTGACAGAACGACACCTCCTCCTGTTGTGTGCCATAAAACATACAAGCTGGTCCAGTGGCTTCCTACCTCCTTAACAACGGTCTTATAGTCTACAGTGATAACTTAGTGTGGTTTAATGAAGGCAGTGTCACACAAAGCACAGCTGACTGGCTTTAATAAACTGACAGACATTTAGAGACAGTTTCTACCTGCTGTTAACTCGTCCTGGTGATCTGACCGCAGGCTGACAGCGCTACATACAGGTGTAAAGGACCGCCAAGACACATTGTGATCTGATCACTCACACCATCTGCTACTTCCTGGTCTGGGAAGCATCTGACCACACGTTGTTTGTAGCGTAAACACGAATACATCCCTGACAAGGATGACGTCATTAATGCAGGACGAGGTGGTTGTTTCGGTGACAGTGTGTTTGCGCTCCATATGTCGCCCATCTTACGATGAATTGGATGAATTGTTGCATGACTGACCTTTGCTTTGCCGTCTGGACGGAGACTACTAAAATATCGATTTATTGATACGTATTAATTCTGAATATTCAAATTGATTTAAATTTGCATCTTCCACACTGAACATAAGCAGGTACCAGCTGCTTTTCGTTGCTCTCATCGTTGAAGGTACTGTGCTGTTCTCTGCTGCTAACCAAGAAAAGAAAAGTGACCGTTTGTGCTTTAATAAACATTTTAAATAGTCTGAACTCAATGTTGATTTTTCACAGTGGTGTCAAATATTGATATTCTTTAAGGTACTATACAGAAGTTGGAAATTCGTCTGACACCGGCACACCGTGAGGACGGAAACAGAGGGCTCGGCGGGGACGGAGCACCTGCTGCAGCAAGCCAACACGCCGTCTGTGGTCATTTTGACTTCACTACAAGCTGCTACATGCTTTGAAACCAGCCGCCGGCCATTTGACCAGCTGAGTGTCAGGTGACACCATCAGACCGGCCAGTTCACACTGCTGACACTTTTCTCGGTGACGTTCTAAAACTCTTTCATCTCATCACAAATCTTTGGTCTGAGCAGGGCTTCAGTCACAGGTGTGAACGGCGCTGCGTCTCCTCGGTCCACTTGTGTTCAGATCACAGACACACGTTAACACCAGGTGTAAACTGACTCTTGGAGACATCAGGGAGTTCAGGACACAGGCAGGTGTTCTCCTGTCAGTCAGGTGGTCTGTGGGGGTTTGAGGTGGTCTACAGGTTGTGGCTCTCTGGGTTCAATATATGACATGATAAGTGATCTACGACATATATTGTACCTGTGCAGGTAGACAGATACAAGTGATGGGAGAGAAGAACTGAAACTGGCTGAGAAATGATGAGGAGGAAAAATGAGAGCAAGAGCATCATACATGAAACATGAGCCTAATTATGGGACAGAGGGAGGAGGACAAGATGCTGGGGACGAATGAGAAAAGAAAAGAGAGTCCTTACAAAAAGCCGAACATCCCCTGATCCGTCAGAGGAGAGGAGGGCGAGCCTGGGAGAGTTTGGTGAAACAAAAGATTTTGGAACTGGAATAAAAGCAGATCAGCAGCACTCCTGGGTCGAGTGCCCTTATTTCAGATTTACAGGCTCTAACAAGGAAGATCTTTAATTCTACACAGACGTGTGCAACAGAAAAAGATGAATCTGTTGGGATGCCAAAACTGAGAATTCACTTTAAAGCTGCAGCATGCAAAATAATTAGGTAACTGAACCTTATAAGATGTATTCACTAATGAACGTGGTCGTTGTGGCATTGTGCAGCTTTTAGGGCCGGTTTAGGGCTGAGATAAAAACCAAGCTGTAAGGTTTCATGTCTGAAGCCTCCCATGTGCCCACACAGAGCAGAACAACAATTACACAACGTGTTTCACAACGACAACAACCAAAGCAACGAGTGGTGAAACGGTTACCTGATCTGTTGAGGAAGAAGCCCTCAAACACCACAAAGTTATTGACCTGCACAGAAAGAAAGACGAGGTCATTAAAACTGTCAGTAACATGTCAGCACACACACACAGTATTACACCATCAGATGTGTCTGTCTGTATCTCCGTGTGCTTGGTGTGTGTCTGTGGCGAATTAGGATGTAAGTGTATGTTAGACTGAGCTAGTTAACCGGGCGTGGCCGTGAGCTTCCTGTGGCTATCAACATGATCAAGGCAAACATCCCTTAAACAGGAAAGACACTGGCCCCTCTCAGACAGGACTCTGGGGACGAGCCAATCATAATGTGAAGCATCATCGTTAAGGACGAGATCACAGATGTTCAGTCTCGTCCTTTGGGAACAACCAAAAATAATCTGAGGTCAAAGGTCAGCTGCAGCTTCTGGGTCTCTCATCTGCATCTCACAGTGTTCACTCACAACAGAGATCACTAAAGCTCCGTGACGCTTTTATTTTCTCCAAGTGAGGATTAGAATATATCCAGTTCATATAATTAGCTCCAAATTAATATATGTTTTTAAAGTCATTACTCAAAGTGTCTGTCATCAAAGAGAGACCATAGAAACTAATGGAATGGTCAGAGTTGTAATATTGAAATCTGTCCAAAAAATGTTGATAAAATATCCCCAAAAATATGATTAAAATGTTCAAAAGAAAATGTTAATAAAATGTCTGATAAATATAAATAAAATGTCCCAAAAAATGTTGATAAAATGTGCAAAAAAAAAGGTTCTTCAATGTCCAAAAAATATGATTAAAATATCGAGAAAGCATGTTAGTAAAATGTCTGATAAATATAAATACAATGTCTAAAGAAATATTAACAAAATGCCCAAAAACAGTTGGTAAAATGTCAAAAAAAGAAAACGTAAAATAGTAATAAAAAAAATTGATAAAATATCCCAAAAAATATGATTAAAAGGTTGGTAAAAAACGTTAATGAAAAATCTGAAAAATACTAATAAAATTCTGAAAACTGTTGATAAAATGTCAAAAAAAAAATTAAATAAAACGTCAATAAAAATGTTGATAAAATATCCCGAAAATATCCACAACTTTTCACAGTGGAAAGAGAAAAATGTAGCTAACTAAACTGAACCGTACTGTTCGGTGGAAACGAGGCTTCACAGACAGACAAAGTTTGCAGAGCACCGTGAGGCTCCCTGGAGGAGGATCTTTTTCGATTATAATGACCCCATGACACTTTCAACACCACCACAAAACCTGCATTGTTAACATCTCTGCTGGCACATGGTGCTGCCTGGTACATTTTTTGGCACAGTATTGTCACCGACCTTTGATGGAGAGGAATGTGCATCAGGTCAGACACGTGTTTGTTGTAGAGCACAAGACACTGACAAAACAGGGCCCCTCACAGTGTCGCTCCTCAACACAACCAGTGGTTAAAATGTCAAACTACAGCTGTTTCTACAGAGTCCATCAACTCTGAATCTCGTCCTCAGCATAGCTTAAAATAATAAGGTCACATTTTGGGTTGGGTTTTGCTCGCTGTTATAACTCCGTCTGTTCATAGTGGCTGCTAAGAGATCCATTTCTAACACCCATTAAATGTAAATGTCTGGTGACGATTTAAAATCCTCAGTCTGTGCAGGACGCAAAGTTTATCTGAAGCTGAGATGAAGGCTCACTACATCTAAAGTCCCGTCTGTACTGAGCTGCAGGGGAGTGACAGTAACTTGTAACTTTGGAAAATATTTATAAAGTTCGTCATCTGTGGAGGAATGATGACAGTGAGCTCATATCAGCACCCACTATAAACACTGCTGTGTCTGATGTTAAGACACACACACACACACACACACACACACACACACACACACACACACACGCTGACAGAGTGACAGTAAAGCACACACTGTACCTGAGGAACACTGGGTGTCAGGCAGTAATGCTTCGCCAGGAAGGACAGGAATTTGGGCGAGGGCCTGTCGTACGCCATCTGAACCGGCTCCAGATTCTTGTGCTACGGAGGAGAAAGAGAAAACATGAGGTGATAATAACACACAGTGATGAACTGTGATCACCGTCTGCTCTACAGCTGGCAGATTACTGCCTTCCTTTTCTCTCTGTTTAAGTGTGAGAAGTTTTTCGGGCGTCCAGTGTCTGACGGTGTTGGTCAGAGTCTTGCAGCAGGTTGGGTACCTGACAGGTAACCTGCAAAAAGCTGTGGCGATAAAAAAATATATATGTATAAATATATAAATTCACAGGTATAAATGAACTACACACAGGTGGGCAGAACAAAAATATATTTTATATTTTTCATATATATTCTCCTCCGTTGGATTTTGAACTCAAGAACGGAGAACCAGCTTCATGTGAGGGACAGGAGCCTGTGATGGTTAATCATGGGTGCAGCTGTGACTTAGACACAATGACAGGTGACAGGTCGGTTCTGGTGCTGAGTTTTACAGGTATAGGTGGGTGCAGGGTCTCAAATATGGACCCGTTCAGGACTCTGAGCTCAGTGTATCTACACAATTTACAAACTCTAACAAACTGATATTTGTGTTGGCATCTTAAATCCAGAGTTGGTGAGATAATAACTGAGAGAAAGCAGAATGTTTCACCTGCAGCATGAAGTCAAACAGCTCCAGCCCGTAGCCGTGTCGCTGCAGGTTCTCTGCTATGTAGAAATCCAGGACACACAGTGGCTCAGCCTCTATGTGCACACCCTGCTGGTCCTGAGGAGGAAACACAACCTGATCCAGCTGATAACATCACTTCACACACACACTCAGGCAGCTCTGTGGGCTGGGAGGTCACAGATGAGGAGAATTAAATAAATCAGGAGACTCACGAGCAGAAATAACTTCTTGTATCCGACCTTGAGAAACCCCACGATCACACCGCGTCCTCTGTACGAGGGGAGAGGGAGAGGCAGGAGGGTGGAGAGTGGTGCAGTGAGTAAGACTCTGTGCTCTGAATAACTTTTCCATCACAGAGCTGAGCTGCTGGCGCTAAACACAGTGTGTCGTATGTCTCAGCACCACAGCACATCAGTACATGCACTGTGACCACACTGTAACCACACTGTAACCACACTGTGACCACACTGTGACTCAGAGCTGAACAAGTCCAGCTGATGAATAGCAGCTCAGTCAACCCAGAGACAGTGAATGTGTGTGTGTGATGAGTGAAAGCTGACGTACCCGTTGCTCTCTCCGTCCTTCAGCAGGTAGAGCTGGTGCTTCTGGGACTGCAGCTTGGATGCACTGGTTATAGACGCTGTGAGCTGCTGAGCCTGAGGACAGAAACATGGAACTGTTCAACATGTAGAAACACTAGTTTCACAGAGGGACTGAGTGTCTCTGGATTTATTAAATACTAGTGCTGATACAACATTTGACTTTTGGTACCAGAACAATACTGTTAGGACAGCATGGCAACATCTTTGTGTGGCAGTATCGTATCATCACAGTGCCAGGTATTGATCTTTTTATTATATAAATGATTAATATTACAAATACAAATTAAACTCTAGGTCGCCTACTTTGAAATATGATCAGTTGCTTTTTCAGTCTACGTACATGTTGCTGCAAAAAAATGTGAGATGAACAGACAGACATCTCGTTACTTATGCTAATACTAAGTTAGTGATTAGCTAGTATGATGTTAAAAGAGAGCAGGTGAAGGTCAGAGTAACGATGATGGGACAGGTCACATCTCATTGCTTTTAAAAAGAATCAGAATTGTGAACTATAAAGTAGAATAGTGCTTTATTTGGTCTCATATTTATTCACTACAGAGCAGCACGCTTCAGATAATCATTGTGTGGTGGGCGTGGTCTGTAGGGGCGTCGTGTATGTTACAAACACAATGCAGGGTTTAGGGGTTAGTTTTTTTCTGGTGGTGCACAGGTGGAAGTGACACTTCACTGTAGGTGGTAACATGTTACTGAAAGAGATAGTGCACCCAAAAATGTAAATTCAGCCATTATCTACTCACCCATATGCCGAGGGAGGCTCAGGTGAAGTTTTAGAGTCCTCACATCACTTGCAGAGATCCAAGGGGAGAGGAGGTAGCAACACAACTCCACCTAATGGAGGCTGACGGCGCCCCAGATTCAAACGTCCAAAAACACATCATTGAAACCACACGTGAGCGCGGTGCCCAGAGAGGCAGTCAGAGCTACAGGCTACAATGAGGCTAAAAACAGAGTTCAAATGAGGTTTTTCCAAACAACTTTTTATGTCGGGGCTTCAGGACACTTGGATCACTACGGACGAGCAGTATGGAGATATTTTGTGGTTTCAATGATGTGTTTTTGGACGTTTGAATCTGGGGCGCCGTCAGCCTCCATTAGGTGGAGTTGTGTTGCTACCTCCTCTCCCCTTGGATCTCTGCAAGTGATGTGAGGACTCTAAAACTTCACCTGAGCCTCCCTCGGCATATGGGTGAGTAGATAATGGCTGCATTTTCAGTTTTGGGTGCACTATCCCTTTAAAGCATTATATTACTTCATAACTGCTAAAAGTAATAGATTACTTACCCCCTTAACACTACTCTTGTTTTTTCTTTTCCTTGATTTGAAGACGTTCTTTGGGATTTGACTTTTTCTGATATTTGACACTCAATAATTATTCAGTCTATCAAACACTGCAGAGGTGCACTCAGCCAGGACGCTGTTGGTCGTGGTCACAGGTGCAGGACACACCTACACAGACTCACCTTTGCTGATGCTCTCCCAAGTTCGTCTATAACTGTGGCTACGTGGGCTTGGAGGTCTGGCCTAGAGAGACGAGCACACAGAGAGGAGCAGGGTTAAAGAAGCAGCGGCTGAACTGACTGACAGCAGGGAGAAGGTCTTCCTCTGGATGCTCCTCCTCTTCCTCACACTGTCCCTACATGCAGCATCACAGATGGTCCATGGGCATGGATGTGTCAGTCTGTGTCTGTGTGTTCACAGCTGATCACTGACCAGTTTCTGTGCACTCAAGGGGTGGAAGTTAACTTCTGTCCACTGCCAGTGTGGGTGGAGGACTCAGCATGCAGCAGCCACTCACCACATCATTAACGCCACATCAGCTGGTTAGTGAAGCACATCTGGCAGAAGTTTCATTAACACAACATTTAGACGAGATTTAACACGTGTTGAAACTAAACTGACAGATTTGTGGCCGGTGTTGTGACATTCAGTGTGTAGAGCAGTGTGCCTGTGTGTGTTGGTGTCCAGGGACAATAACACACAACAAAGACACAAAGAGATTCACATCTTACCTTCCTGCTGATTTACGACCTGCAACGAGGGTATGGTCCAAGATGGAGACCCTCTCGGGGAACAGCTGGTTGATATCAAAGGGGAACTCCATGTTGCCTGTGAGGACAGATTAGCTGCTCGGCTGTAACGATGGTAGCAGGAGGAGGAGACACATCCGCAGGCAGCAGCTCAGGCAGGTGCTAAGCTAACGCTAGCTACCGGGGCTGTTGGTTAGCTCACAATGCTAACTCGTTAGCGCAGTGGTAACGGTTAGCTAGCTGCTAGCAGCCCGGAGACAATAGCATCTCAACAGCAGAGTGACACTAAATGTTTCTGTGTGTGAGCTGCACAAACAGGCACCTGCTGCTAACATGGTCACTGTGAGTCCATTGTGTGTGTGTGTGTGAGTCACTCCCTTCTTCTTCTTCTACTGTTGTTTTAATGTTAGCAAACAGCTCCTCGGCGCATTACCGCCACCAACCTGACGCGACATGAACGGTAAGTTGACATGACCCGCCCCCTTCTCCCTCTGATTGGTTAGTACTCAAGGGCTCAGTGCGAGAAGAGATTGTGATTGATTAGTCAGTGTGAGAATAGCAGGGTAAGCCAATCAGAGGCAGAGTAAGGCAGAGTAGGGCGGGTCATCATGTCTCAGTCATCCCAGGGAAAAAACGGAAGAAATTACAGCTTGCATTTTTATTTTATTTTATTTTTCATTTTCATTATTATTTTATTTT